ATTCATTGAGATGAGCTCTGTAATCTTTGATTACCTGTTTTTATTGTCAGGAATCAAGGAGCTGATTTTAATCAAATTGGTTTACAGTATTTGTGTTGTAGGTCTGTGTAGTAAGATTTTAGAAGAAAAAAAATTGAACTACTAAAATTTTAGTCATCGCACATCCTTTAATTTTACCATCTTGTTTAATTTGTCCAGAAGTTTGTTGACATTTACTCACTTTTGTTCAAGAAATGCAAAAAAAAAAAAATTAAAATTATACACATAGATGTGATCAGCTTTAATATAGTACCAGTGAAATTATGATTCCTAGAGAAAAAGAACTATACAACCTTCATACATGCCATCTATTATATGACAACCTACACTTTTGCAGTTCAGTAGGTCGTTGTCCTTTTGTTACCTCTTGACGAAGCTGTTAGTTAATTACTGTAATGAAAAAAGCATTCCCAACAATAATGGAAATTTTTATGAGGCATCCACAGAGATTTCATTTATTTGTATTGGTACAAAAAAGTCAGATTCTTCAGTAAAAACACTGCAGAAATATTATTTTATGATCAAATGCAGTTTATACATGTTGTAGTTAACATATATGCTTGATAAGAAAATAATTAAGACTAGAAACTCATTGTGAGCAATGAGAGGTCTTCCGTCCGATTCTGAAAATTAAAACGAAAATTCAAGCTGAAAAGTGATAAAAGAAACTCAGACACTCTGGAAATTTAGCCCTGGTCGTCAGCGTGAAAATCCAACGTGCTAACCATTAACCATTCACTTTTTTACATCACTTCCTTTCACGACCGGAAGTAACGGCGATACGAGATTTTCTCACGATTCAAATAAACTGATGACTGACTATCATTCCTGAAAGGTTTTGACTTCAGACTTTTACTGTTGCCGAGCAATATTGTGAGAACAAATTCTAATTTTGAGGACAGGTAAACACGCAACCCAAAGTGAATTTTATAAAAATCTCTGACTTTTCTCTAAACATTTGCAGTATCTACAACATACATAAAATTATTTTCAAGTCCTTTATCAATAAGTAATATTTATGAGAAAGTTAAATATAAAAATAACGTACTTTATCTCCTAAAACCAGAAGTTGACGTTTTTGTTTCCGGAGAAATCTAGCATATTTTATAACAGCGAAAGAGATGTAATAAAGTGATGCAAGTTTTAATTCAAAAAAGAAAAATTAAAATTTTTGATTTCTTTCATCACTTCCTGTGACCAGCGGAAGTGACGACTGACGCGTTTAACCCAAATGGTTTTGCCTACTCCTCAAGGTCTATTACTCATAAAAATTTGGTGTTTTAATCTTCTACCTGTTTTTGAGATCTCGCTCAGACAAATTCTCGTTTTGAGGACAGGAAAACACGCGACCGGAAGTGAATTTTTGAAAGATATTAAAGGTTACTCTAGACATTTGCACTCTGAATAACACATTTAAAATTCATTTCAAATACTTTATCTATAAAGAATATTTATGGGAAAGTAAAATAATCCAATTATTTAGTTTTTCTTTTATAACCGGAAGTTGACGTTTTTGTTTCCGGTGGGACCAACATCTTTTGAATCTGCGAAAAAGATGTAATAAAGTGAAGCAATTTTAGATTTAAAAAAGAAAAGTTGAAATTTTCGATTTCTTTGAACCCTTCCTGTGATGACCGGAAGTGACGACTGACGCGCTGAACCCAAATAGTTTTGCCTACATCTGAAGGTCTGTTGCTCATATAAGTTTGGTGTCTTAATCTCTTACCATTTCCAAGATCTTGCTCAGACAATTTCTCATTTTGAGGACAGAAAAACACGCGACCAGAAGTGAATTTTACAAAGATATATGACGTTACTCTAGACATTTGCAGTCTAAATAACATATTTAAAATTCATTTCAAATACATTATCTACAAAAGACACAAATGGGAAAGAAAAATACTCAAATTATATAGTTTTTCTCTTATAACCGGAAGTTGACGTTTTTGTTTCCGGTGGGACCAACATATTTCGAAACTACAAAAGAGATGCAATAATGTGATGTAAGTATTGATTTAAAAAAGGAGAGTTGAAATTTTACGATTTCTTTAATCACTTCCGTAAGCGACCGGAAGTGCCGACGACGAACGAAAAGTAGCAACCCGGCTAGTACCTATCACGAACTATAATCCCTGGAAGTTTCACATTGGTACCTTTTACCGTTCCTGAGATTATCTGTGGACAAAATGTCATTTTGAAATCAGAAAATGGTCTGTAACTTGGCACCGGAAGTGAATTTCCAAATTTTCTCTCAGATAGATCAAGTTCATGTTACGACACATCTTTCCTGAAAATTTCATGTAAATCCATCGAATAGTTTTCGAGAAATCGCGTGCACAAAATTAGAAAGTCAAAAAAATAATAAAAATAATAAGAAGAAGAAGAAGAAACAGTAGAATCACTATAGGTCTTCCGTTGAAAACGGAAGACCTAATTATATCAATTATAAAATTATGAATGTAGGATATGAAAATAAATAAACTTTTTGTGTGTATTGAATTATCCTGTGTCGAGCCCCTCTTTAAAAATAGATGAACAAGGATACGCTGAACTGAAAAATAAAAATACAAATAGTAATCAAACCATTCCCTACAGAGCTTGATAGATTGATAAAGCTGGAAAGAGCTGGTTTATTTTATGGAAAAGTGAAATATAAACAAGGCCCAAGGCTGTGATTTACTGGAAGTAGTTCATTGAAGTTTTATAAATTCTGGTAAGTGTATAAATATTAACATTTACAAATGTCATGATGTATGCACAGTGTGTATTTGAAAGTATACAAGGCTGTATATATGTACATGTACTCAAGTATTGATTGAAAGGTAGATTTTGATGTGTGTGTAAGATTTTAATGGCCACATGCACCTCAAAGGGTGTACATTAAAAGTTTGACCAGTAAAAATAATCGCCCCAGGGTGGAGTTTGTCTATAACTCAGACATATATCTGCTGACTCAGGAGTTTGTTTTTTTTCTTTTTTTCTTTTTTTTTTTTTCAGAGGAAGTCAAGAGTGATAGTTAAGAAAAATTTTCTAATGTAAATTCATTCACATGTACATATTCACACACAAAAACTGCCACACCATTGATCTGGCAAGTTTCATGGGTACAGCTTTGTGCTTTTATATTTATAAATGTGATTTTTACAAGGTACAGACAGTGGTATTTTAAGAAGTGAATATAATCACAATTATAATTTCATATATTCATTAAGTTGGAGATCAAGTTTTTATGTATTTTACAAGTGGTGTAAACATAATCTTGCTCTTGTTTGATAAGCTCTAAAAACAAGTTCAGTTTAAATTACTTGTACATAGTTGTTGAATTACAGGTACATATATTTATAAGTATTCTAACTTTTATGCTGTAAATCTGTAGAATTAACATTATTTAATGATCATAAGAGTTATGCCCTCTAATGTTTTTGTGAAGCTCTCGGTACCCATCCCTCTTCAATAGATTTACACTGATTTATTTTTGCCATATTTTATGTGTTAGGATTTTTTTCATTTCAAAGGAAAAAAGATTTCACAAAAACTAGGGAAACATGCATTAGAGTGCTAGCTTTGATTATAAACTTTATCTCACAGCCACTGGTAGATATAGGGGCAATAAAAAAGCTTTCTTATTCAAACGTAGTGTAATGGTTCAGATTATATAAGCAGGAAGATGTGACACTATGTTTTTTTTCTTATCTATATAAAATGGAAGAAACTGAGAAATTGACTAGTCACCCCCAGATAGGATATAGTCATTACTGGATCCTCTTTAAATCTTTGTGGTTTTCTCTTTTCACACCCACAATACATGATCCTTGTGTATGTCTATTTAGTGTCTGATCAAATGATGATACATTGGGTCCTTGAAGCAGTTAAGTTCTTGCCTTGTATGGGACACAACAGAATTGTCAGCTTTGTATAAGGTAATATGATTTGGTTTAATTGCTATTGATTGTGTTTCTTTTTCTTAAAGAAATAAACAGTTTGCATTCAAGTGTTGAAACAGTTCTGCAGTTATTAAGTTTAATCAATCCTACATGCATGTAGAATGATTGGCCCAATACACCCATACCCTGGATAGAATAATAACTGATGTCAATTTCCATGCACTTTCCAGTCGGAGTGCAGTTTTTTGATGAAGTTTTCAATTAATTGTTTTTGTAATCAATTGCTTGAGTGTAAACATTTTTTTCATGCAGTATTTGCTTAAAGCAGTGAATTTTTTTTTAGGTATATTGAGTTTGTCTTTTCATGTTTTGGTGCTTATGAGTTATATGTACAATACAATAACACATCATTCTTTGGCAGCTTGTACATGTGATGTACATGTTGAAATGTAATCATTGGCAATCTTGGTTACCCCCTCCATTAATTCTGTAGGAAACACAACCTGTTTGTTGATGTGTTGGCAGTTCAAGGTGTAGGTGAAGACTTCTAACAGACTCCATGGCAGCCATCGTTAGGAGATTCGTTAATGTTTAGATCAAGATATTGTCATTAACGAAAGAGTTTTTTACTTGGCAGGGGATTTTACGGTGTGTGTGTTTTGATTGGGGAGAAGTTTTACATATTGATGTTTTTGTGGGGGATAGATATACTACAGCCGTACCTATGTTCTGTTTGTGTAATATGGGATTAGGATAATATTATACCTCTAAACCACAAGGGAAGATTGTATTCTGTGGAGCTAGCAGGTGTTTGTGTGGGATTCTAACTATTGTGCAAGTTTCAATTTTAATCAGGAGATGGGAGGAGTCCATTGTGTGTACACGTAAATATCAGATTCCTCCGATTTATAACTGGAATACATGCATGGTTTTATGGTTTGTTGAATTTATATATAGCTCTAGACTTCTAATGATCATCATAAAATCTAAGGTTCTTAGGTTCAATGTTTCTTAAAATTTTAAATTTATTTATATTTATGATAATAAAAGGTTATTATTTCAATTCAGGATCTTTTTCTTAATTTGTTTTAACTGTATTTTATTTTAGATGAATGCCTATGAATGTTCTGACCTTTGACCTGGTTGTGATTATTTCCTGGATGAATATCCTCCATGCCGTGACGTCTGCTAAGCGGGAGACTGCTCCGCAGATAAAGAAATTAAAATCTACGTGTAGCAGTGGATCGGAGTGTCCCGTCAGCTTTCCTAAGGTGGAGCTTAAGAAACGCCTCACACCTCTCGAGTACCATGTTACACAGGAAAAAGGGACAGAAAAGTAAGATAACCTCTCCACTGCATAGTCATATGTCTCACATAGGTAGACATATATATGATACATAGTCATATGTCTCACATAGGTAGATATGTATGATACATAGTCATATGTCTCACTTAGGTAGACATGTATGATACATAGTCACATGTCTCACATAGGTAGACACATATGATACATAGTCATATGTCTCACATAGGTAGATATATATGATACATAGTCATATGTCTCACATAGGTAGATATATATGATACATGGTCATATGTCTCACATAGGTAGATATATATGATACATAGTCATATGTCTCACGTAGGTAGACATATATGATACATAGTCATATGTTTCACATAGGTAGACATATATGATACAGTCATATGTCTCACATAGTTAGACATATATGATACATAGTCATATGTCTCACATAGGTAGACATATATGATACATAGCCATATGTCTCACATAGGTAGACATGTATGATATGTAAAGTGAAATGATCAGTTGATATTAGAGTATATCACACAATGTATCGTATAAAGACAGAGAAATTGAACTGTGAGATATACCTTGTGCAAAGACACATTACTTTTACCTCAGATTACAATTTACTTCAAGGTAAAAAGTTGAAAATTAAATTGAATTACTGTATATATAAGTTCTCTCTGGATTTAAAATGAAGTTTGATATTGTGTTTACAGGGCCTTTTCTGGTAAATATGTGAACACTAAGGAGGAGGGTGTGTACACATGTGTGGTGTGTGGTAATCAGCTGTTTTCCTCAGATTCGAAGTTTGACTCAAAATCCGGCTGGCCATCCTTCTACGATGTCACAAATAAAAAGCAGATCATTGTTAAAGATGATAACTCACATGGTATGCATTTTAAATCACTGAACAAACAACTGAACCAAAAAACTTTGGGGTATTATGGCCATTGGGGAGTATTTTTATGCCCCCAAAATCGAAGATTCGAGGTCATATAGTCTTAGCCCTTCACATGTTTATTCCTATAGTGATAAGAACTTTCTTTGGGTACAGATATTTTGACCTTGACCTTGGAGTTTGACCTACTTTTAAAAAAGTTAACCTTGGCCATAACTTTTGAATGGTTTTTGCTATGGCTTTCATGTTACATTAGTCATATGTGTATTCCTTGTGACAAGACCTTCCCTTGGGTACCAACAATTTTGACCCTTTGACCTTGGAATTTGACCCACTTTTGAAAAACTTTAACTTTTGCCATAACTTTTAAACAGTTGTTTCTAGTGCTTTCATATTTCACAGGTGTATTCGTCGTGTCAAGACCAACAATTTTGACCTTTGAGTTTGACCTAATTTTTAAAAACTTTAAGCTTGGCCATAACTTTTGAACAGTAGGTTCTAGGGTTTTCATATTTCACTCGTGTATGTCTTGTGACAAGACTTTTCCTTCGGCACCTCAATTTTACCCATGTAAATGATGCACATGTAAAAATATGAAAGCCCTGTCTATCAGGTGCAAAAGCTACAGCCAAGGTAAAAATTCTTGAAAAGTAGGTCCAACTTCAATCTCAAGGTCATGAGGTAAAAAATATATATATATATATTAAGAAAGGCCTTGTCACAGGTAATACGTAATGAACATTGCACCCACTGTCATTCAACGATTATTACCAAAATAAAAAAAAAAAAAATGAAAAGTAGGTCAAACTTCAAGATAAAGATGATGGGGTCAAAAATCATAGTTCAGTTGGAAAGGTATTGTCACAGGTAATGCACATGTGTAATATGAAAACCTTATTTTTTCAAAAATTATTACCAAAGTTTTTTTTTTAAATTGTAGATCAAACTTCAAGTCAAGTTCGTAAGGTCAAAATTCATAGTACTGTTGAACTTCAAATGTTATCTCAAATGTTGATATCTCAAATACTACCGATGTATCAAATGAATTAAAAGTTCTTTTATGTATTTTAACCTTGATATCTCAAATCCTCAGATACATGTATCTGGAAGTTTTTTCCTGATCCAATAAGGTTCAAGATGATGAGCATTGACTCTTAGTTCAGAAAGGTCTTGTCACAGGTAATGCACATGTGAAATATGAAAGCCCCATCTTTTCTCATTCAAAAGTTATGACCCAGGTTAAAGTTTTTATGACAGAAGGACAGACACACAGATGAATGAGATTTAATGTTCCCACACTTTTTTCTGAAAATGGGGGACAAAAAATATGAGCATATGAAGTTAAGGGCAAGATCTAGTAAATGAAAGGTGACTGTGGATCTAGTAAATGAAAGGTGACTGTGGATCTAGTAAATGAAAGGTGCCTACAGGAATCTAGTAAATGAAAGGTGCCTATAGGGTTCATATCTGGGTTAAATAAGGTGCATTGGACATAATTTTTTGGTAAACACTACTAAATATTGTGAATTAAACAGTAAGTTTCATTGAAAAATGAAGAAAGTCAGCTATATATTTAGAGCTCTGTTCCATTTCACACAAATTAAATGTATCCAGATTGCCTATTGTTTCTCGGTGGATGACAATTTGTTCTTTAAAACAATATTAGATTGAATATTGGTATCGAGATTACTTTTCACATGATTTTGTTCAAATTGAATGTTTTCATTTTCTACATAATTTAATGATAGCTGTAAAGGTAAAGGTTAGTTTGAATTGATTATGACATCATAATTGATCTGTCTCCAATTTTTGACCTCAAGTTAAAAAGACTTAAAAATGAAAACAAGATTGGAATTAAAACATAAATACCTGTGTATTAATTGAAATCTGGTAAAATAAAATAATTCTGGCAGATTACTGTAGATCTAACAAACAGTTCCTTTGATTTTTTCTACCCTGCAAAAAATCCATGTGCTCCACACATTTTCAGCACAGTGAAATTGCTAGGCTCCTATTAGTCCACAAGTGACACTTTTTCTTGTCATACTAAATACCGGTACTCAGCTTTCTTGACCCGAGACTACAGTCCTGACCCTCTTGTTTTTATTGACAGGAATGCATAGGAAGGAGGTCGTGTGTTCTAAGTGTGGGGCCCATTTGGGTCATGTTTTTGATGATGGACCTATCCCCACGGGTCTACGTTACTGCATCAATTCTGCTGCTCTTCTCTTCCAACCCAAAATAAAGAACAAAATCAAGTCTGAACTGTGATTGAACTATTTTTAATCATTTTCCTGATTTTGATTATTACTTATCAGCCATCTTTCCAAATTTGTGAAATTCACTTTATGAAATATAATGACATGTGCTTGTACAGTAAATGAGATGAAGCTGAAATAAAACTAAGACTGATCATTCCTTGTTTTACTGCCTTGTGTTGCTACCATAAAGTATTTTGTGGACAGTGAAATTCTTCCAATTTATGATTAATAAAATTAAAAATAGAGATTTTTTTGTTGAGTGAATGAAAAAATTTTGTCAAGACAAATGTTCCTAATTTCTATCAAATATTCTGTATAAATAAGTTGATATATCAATGTTGGAATAAATATTTATTGACGGAAAGATTGCCAAAGATAACATGAACTGGATGCAACTGTTATCACTTTTTTTAGCTCTACTGGTCAAAATAGCTTAGGTGAATGTAAAGTGTCTATCTGTATGTCTTTTTGTCTGTCTATCTGCTTGTAAACAATTTTTCAAAATGCAAGTTATTATGTCATTTTTGGTCCAATTTCAGTAAAACTTGGTACACAAGTAGACATAATTTTTATCAATTTATGATTTGAAAGAACGGGGTTGCCATGGTTACTTAAGCTAGAAAACCTTGAAAAATATTTTTTTAAATGCTTCTCTTACAGTTTTGCTCCAATATCAATAAAACAGAACATTTCCCTGTTAATTTGTTTTCGAGTTAATTGTGCCAAGATGTTGCACAATATATGTTTTACATATTTGGAAAACAGCTAGGATAAACCACTGTTTTTCAATAAGGCTACCTCATTTTTTTCTATATTGATTCACATTTATACGTAAGAAATAAATTTAATGGTTGTATGATCCAAACAGATTTTTTTTGCATTTCTGTTTTTTTCCCTAGGTATGCAGCGATTGGAGGCAAAGTGTGCTGATTGTAATTCACATATAGGTCACGTGTTTGACGATGGTCCGAAACCGACAGGACTACGATACTGTGTCAATTCAGCTGCACTCAGCTTCAAAAAACAAACAACAGTTTGATGCTGGGACAGTAATGGAGTGTCATCTACAACAAGAGGTTGTCACTGCTGAGTAAAACAAACATAGAATGCTTGTACAGAGGACTTTTTGTTTGTTATAAAATCATTAAACTTGTTTGTTAGGGAATAATTGTCTGAAAAATTTTGAAAATGTTTTGATTTCTGATATATATTTTATCTTCATAATAACATATCTGGTATTTTAGGCCCTGTTTTTACGAAAGAACTTTCAAAAATCTTGTATCACCCTAATACATTGGCAGTTTAATAATTTTGTGAAATGCATATGCTTGTAAATTTATATGCTTAAATTCTTCTTTTAAAGAATAAAATTTATTGCCAAAGTAAAGTTAGGTTTTCTTTAAATTGTGGACAGACATTTTTTTGCTTTGTCTCAAACCATTATTATTCTTTGTATTGTTTATAGTTTATGTTATGTTATTCAATTTAGTTTATATTTATTAAGTTATTTATTAGTGAATGTATTAGTTATAGAAACATACCAGGTACATAAAAGATAATATATATTAGCTAAAATATATATACTGTTTTAAAAGTATGGTGCTAAAATTTTTGAGTTCTAGATGTGATAAAAAAAAAACGAGTTGTCTCTCTTTATAAATAGTGCGGACAAAGCAATGGTTTTAGTCACAGAGATTTGTGATTTTTATGGAAATGGCAATCTGAATTCATGATGTTTGTTTCTTATTATGATTTTATTTCACAGTGTAGAAAATGTCAAATAATTGTCTCTTATTTTTTCTGTTTTTTGGAATGTTGAGGTGCAATCTAAGGCTATTTTGATTTTATCTTTAGCTATGTAAGTAATATGTACGCTGTACTTAAGTTTTATAGATATTTTTTTTAAAAAACATTATAATCTCATTTTATAGATCTCGATCATTGTTTCTTTGCAAGTTCACTGACCTAAACCTCAGAGTTATATAGAGAAATGTGTGTATTTTGTGTATCTTTGTTTAAAAAATAATGTTTTAAGGCCCCTTTTTGCTCCATATTGAGATGAATTTAAGAAGCAATGTCCAAAATCAAACAAAAGTATTTTTATCCAGTTATCATAAATTTTAGAGTAATCTTGCTAAAGAAAACTTTGAGTGCATGTTAGGGTTTTCTGGAAGATTTACATTTTTATATACAGTTTAAACTCATTATCTCGAACTCAAAGGCACCGAGAGAAAAAGTTCGAGATATCCGAGGATTTGAGATATCAAGGGTGAAATACTTAAAGATTAAGTGTGTGGGACTTCCAAATCACTTAGACATATCTATGGTATTCGAGATACCAGTGTTTGAGATACAGAAGTTCAACTGTACCTAAGTATGAGATACATCAGGCATATGAAATCTCAGATAGGCAACCTAGCACTCTGTGTTTTCTGAAGCAAAATGGTAAAAAGGATACGAAAGTGATGAAAATTTATCCAAAATTCAGCAGTTTATTCTTATTTATCACTTTCTGGCATTATATTTGCAGTGGATAGGTAGAAAAGTTGGGTTTAATCATGTTACTTTAATTCTATTTTACTTTTTGTTTGTTTTTTTTTTTAATTGTATGTCAGATTAAGTCCTATATCTTTTTGTTCCTTTAATGATTCAACTAGAAGTTGGAGGGTTTTGTTTCCATGTCTATTATTTGTTTATGTATGTTTAATTTATGTATCAAAACATGAATTTAATACTGTAAACATATGTAGTTAAAAACTTATCAGGGCTTTTTTTGCATGAGAATATTAGTGCAATAAGATATTATCCATCATATTTTACTTTTTTATACTGAAATATCTAAATAACTGTAGACAGTACACAAGCGAGTGAAAAGATTTATGCTGGCTTAATTTTTTATATTTGCACTTAGTAGTAGCCACATTTTTGTAGCCAAGATTTTTGGATATTTTTTTTTCTGCAATCTTATGATGAGTATGACAAATATGTTATTGTGTGTGTTTATGTTTGCTTCCATGTTTTCTCCATTAATAAATGCTTGCTTCTCATTTGTTTTGTTTTTAAAAATAATGTTTAATATTTGCTGATTATAAGAATTATTGTCATTATATATTATTTTATTGGACTGTTCTTGAACAATGTTTGAAGTGCTTTCCATTTTTACAACTAATTTACAAATGTTCAGCATCATTGCGTTTTGGAGTTTCTGTAATGTGTATATGCTACTCTTAACCTTTACATTTATTTTAAACATTTCTAATTCAGAACAACTTTTTTTATTATGGGATAAGACTTTTTTTCATTAAGTTTAAAAAGTATATTTGATAAACATGGTAATTTTAATCCATCAGTTAGCCCAGATAATCAGAAAAAAAATGTTTAAAAAAAGGGGGGGGGGTGTAAATTCTTGAGTTTTCACAAAGAATATTTTCAATGCCTAATGTCAGTTTTGTGTCTTAAGGTATTGTAAATATTCCTTGTTTGTATCTTTGAGTCTTTATTTCTCATTGTTTTGAGATGTGTTTTGTAAAGCTGCATAGCTTTATTTTATATGAAGTAAAGATAACCCTTTCATGTTTGCTGACAAAACTTAAAACTTTATACGTTAAGCTTTATATGTAATGGAATCGCAGACTGGTCAATAGTTCATTAACCTGGAATTGCCAAGTCTCAGAATTGACATTTTACATTTCTGCAATTGAGTAAATTTAACACGAAGAGTCTTCCCTCTCGGTTAACTTTATAGAAGAATGGTCTCGGTAAATGTAGCGTACTGGTTAATCTATTACCAAATTCTTTTTAAAGAAATTTTTGAAACTCTTATTTTTAAATAATAGATGTGTCCTCGTCATAAGATAGAAATTACTTATCATTTTTTTAAGCTGATTGTTTAGAAAACTGTCATATGAACACATATATATTAATTTATAATCAGTGTGTTTACGTTGAAATCATGTTGTTGAATCAGATATTATAAAGACAACTTATTTTACATCAGTATAACTGCTGTGATGCTGTGATAGAGTCCTATGTTAGTAGTTTTAACTCTGTTTGTTTTTTGTTGTTGATGGCTTGAAACATGTGCTCATGTCATTAGTTGAATCTCTTCAGTTCAGTAGAATGTGTTATTCTGAGCATGTGTGTTTAATGTAGTTTTGAACAATCAGGATAATTTTTTTTTCAATTTTAGTCTTTTTTTTTTTTTTTTTTTTTTTATTTTTTTTTTTTTTTATTTAAAGCAATTGTTGGCTGCTGAAAACAAACAAAGCTCCGAGATTGTCCTCTCTGACAGAAATATCAGATTCGTTCACCTCCAAATGGTTTCTTTCACTGTGTCATTTCTTATCGGCAATCAGCCTCATTTTTGTTTTTTCGGCAATAAAATGCTTGTTATATCTCAAGTTCTTTTGTTTTGATTTCTAGTATCTGAGTGTGCCACAGCGCATGTTGTTAATTCCACAATGAGGTAATTCCCTAATTGTGAGATTACGATCCTTTAGTTGCGTGTAATTCTTTAAATATAACATGCTCTATAAATTGTTTTCGCGGAAACTATTTTTTTATGTATAATTTTGTACTTTTATTTTCAACTTCTTAAATAGGTCAGGTCTTAATTGATAGTAAATAGTGACTAAGTCCAATTTGCACGAAACAGATAAATTTATTAACAGGTAGATAGACGGGGTCGCTAGGCATTGGACCGAATTCCGCTCATCATCAGACGAGTGATGCACGGCATCGTTTTACAGTAGGAAACCGTCTCTCTCTCCCCCCGAGACGAAAACCCCCCACATTGTAGAAGAGAGTGGATTTCACAAACTATAGCCCTTTTAACAAAAGAACACGAAATGGTATTAAAATAACGAAATTTAATAACCAGTATAGTTTGTAAATGACTTTCGAGTGTTGTGATAATCATTTAAAGAATTTCCCTTTTTTTAAGTTTTTGAAAGCATAAAATAATAATCTGGATTCTGTGTATAGATACATGTAGCTATATTTGGTTATACAACAAAGAAATATCAGAATGGTGTCTCTTATAAAATAAAATCTACTGTATTTAACATATGCTTGTCATCGCTAGAACAAAGGGGTAAATGGGAAGATGTTTGAAGTCATTGAAATAGATGGAATATGTTGCTAGGAGGAGTTTGTGACTTCTGAAACCAGAACTGTCAACACCCAAATGATTTAAACGATAGGCGTTACTTGAAAAGATATGCAATGCACTGAGGATTTTTTTTTTTTTTTTTTTTTTTTTTTTTTTTTTTGGTGTGTGTGTATTTTTTTTAATTTGTTTTTTTTTTAAATATTTTCATTTTATGTAAGGAAAATAATAATAATCCTAACATTAAAATCAGTGCGCCTGTTTATGGATAATGAACCATTTTGCGAGTAACAATACTTATACACAATATACATATCACTTCACAACATATTTGAATTCAAATACTGAAGGTTTATGGTATTGATCCATAAAATTTTCCATAAATATCGACGAAGTAAATGCAGATATAACTTTTTAAACGCCCACCACATTAAAACATGAATACAAGCATTAGAAAATATTAATGGTAAGCCAACATTTATATCTACATGAAAAGAAGTACGTATTAACTTTATACATTGTCTATAACGAAATGGAACCGCAGTCCAAGGTCCTGATTATGAATCAGTGACGTTAATTTGATGGATTTTTATTTGATTAAGATAAGAAATTTTATAATTAATGATTGGAATGTCTTAAATTAAGTTGTTGGTTCCATTCTGTCTGTACATGTAGGTCTATGTTTTGCCATGTAATGATGCAAATTAAGAACAATGGTCAAACCATCGCTAGTAAGTGCTGTCAAGATACCGTACAACATGGAAACTGGTTTCTCTTGTAGAGTTTTCACCCCCCCCCCCCAAACACACAAACATACGTCAAATGTATTTTACCATGCATACTCTCTAGTGTCAATTCTCCGGTCCTTACGAGCTGTAGCGTAATGTAATACTGAGCTGTCTGGAGCTTGGTATTTTATTACGCAAAATATTGTCTTGTTTGGCTATTCTGGTCTTAGATCAGAGCATAAGCAAGGTTATGTCCACCTCTGTCTGTCTGTGCACAATTTTTTCATTTGAAAATCTTTCATCTTAATGCAGATTTTGTCCAATCTCAATATACATCTGTAATTCTGAACACAATAAGAATATACTATCAAGGTAATTCTTTATTTTTATTCATGATTTTATCAAGAAATTATTTTTGTCAATTTTAATGATGAAAAGTGTTACCACGGTTACTGAACATAATAATGTTTGATTCCTCAAAATGCTATTTCTACTACAGTTTAGTCTGATTTCACTGTAACAAATAAAACATACCCCAGGGCCCCGAATTACAAAAGAACTTACCACTAAGACCAAATGTAATTTTGCAAATAACTTTCAATTTTGCATTAATTTGAAAATGATTTTAATCTTTTGAAAAGAATTGAGATATTTTTTATGTAAGCAATTTTGAGCAGAATCGTTAATTTTGAAAGATTTAACAATCAACAATAGTTTTTGGTTTTAGTTGTAAGTTCATCTGTCAATCAGCTACAATCAATTTTTCGGTATATAAATATATATATTTTTAAAGGTTTTTATTATCACATTCGACTTTTACTTCTTAAAAATATCGGTAGTACGTTTGTTGCGTGTTCAAATTAATTTATCAGGCCTAGTTAATCTAAATCAAAAACTCGGCAAACTAAAGGGGGCTTGAAACGATAGTCATCATGATATTACATGTATTTGAATTACAGAGTAGAATTTCAAAATTATTCTCCTTAGATTCTTTTAAGAACATCGCCAGATACAAAAACGGTTTTATGAGTGTGTGTAAATATATAACCTGCTCTGTGTCAGATACCGTGATCAGTTCCCCTTATATCTGTAAATACAAGGTTGAATAAGATATATTTTGATTTTAATTTAAAAAGTGACTGGAACGAAATTTGTATTAAAATTGGTCTATACATTTAGCAAAAAATAACGTTTTCCTTACCGAATTACAAATTATATAGAAATTGATCATAGGTACGTGAAAATTACAAGTAATGATTGAAATAAAATCTAAAACTAAATAAATTTCACTTTTATAAATATTTCAGGTGAGTCTGAGAGGATTGACTTAATTCTATTGTCAAATCATTTGAAAAAATGATCAATTTTTACTCTTTTTGGATATCAAGGCTTTAAAAAGGGAAAGAGGTATAATTAAAAATTTAGAAGGAATGGTTTTCTTGATTTGAAAATCTGGGTAGGATTACCGGACTAGGAAGTTAGGATTAGCGGGGACACCTGTCATTAAAGTTAGCCACAATTAGGAAGGGTTAAAAAAAATTTATAATAATAATAGAGAAATTCTGTCGTTATTTCCTTAATGCTTAATGTCTAATTAAACGTAAATAGTATACAAGAAGGGAGAGGTTTAATTATATACGTATACTGAATCTTCTAATATGCATCACGAGTCTGCACTAGGGAGAGTATGTTTTCTTGTAAGAATTCTGTTTTATAATTTGATACCAAGATCTTATCTCGTACTTCGAAAGTTTCCCCAGCAATTCGTCACGTAATTTTAACAAAAGCTGAATAGCTATAAAGAGGTAGACAATCATCTTTAGAGATAGGACACCGTCCTCAAGTTTTATATAATGACCCGAATGACAAGCTTATTATTAATAACATCATAAAATAACAATAAACGAGGAACTGAAAACTAACAAAGTAATTCTGCAGGTAAAATTAAACGTTTGACCTGAGCAAGAATGTCCACGTTATGGTGATACAGCTTAAAGCTTTAGGGCGACCTTCGGAGATTTTCTATATAAGGAGATACATGTACATCTATAAACGGTGACTTCATTATCATACAGTCATCATGAGTCAAGAGCACAAGACAATTCGCTGTCAACCTGCTTATAACGATCGAACCCGAACCTCTACATCCAGGCATTAACTTTAATTTTTGGAAACATTGTAGACTTCTTCTACATATCATTACATACGACATGCCCATAGATCACACTTTTATTATTATTTTGCTGTCGACAAACTCCTCAAATTACTTAACATTTTTTTAAAATATACTAAGGAAATACCGTATTCTTATGTAAGAAGATATTTCAATGGGTTTTCACGGATCTCCATATAGTTTGCGAGCAATTAAAATACTCTTAATTTGTATAATTCAAAATCAAGTAGCTCCCTTACTGAGTAATCGTGTTGAATAAATACTATTCAGATGTTGACATCTAAACTATGTACGAATTAATTCAGTGACCGGAAAAGGGAATTATATGTCAAAACATCTATAGAATTAAAATCTAACCAACAGACTTTCATCTTGTTTTGAGATTTCAATCCTTAAAAATTTATGTTTTTTGAGTGCTTAAATTGAAATGGAATGTCTTGATTTTCAATTTTTTACTTCGCCCAATTAACGTTTCTTTGACAAAAATCTGAAGAAATTGATCTGATAAAAGTTATACTATGAGGAAGAAATCTTGTAGGTGTGCTCGAGCACATAAATATTAAATAGGGTAAATATTATATTTATAGACTACCATCAAATTATTGTATTTAAGAAACAACATTTTTAAGAAATGAAAATTCTCATAATTCTATTATCTTTCCTGATCGGTACACAAGATGTTCGTAAAATTTTGATTTCTAAAAGAAAATGAACTTTCTATGGTAAATATTCATTTCAAAGTTGTTTTTATTATTTCTGTTGGATTAAATTTAAGTTCAGATCTTTTATCATCTTACAGATTCTGATTATTATCGGAAGAGGTGCAGAATTTGATCAGATTTTTTGGTACAAAGTTTAATTTCTCTTGGGAATTTCGTCACACAGTCGGTAGAGGGTTCCTTTGATTTTCTATCCTTTAAAATGGCGTACCCTTTGTGACTCTGATTTAAGAGGTCGATAACTTCGGTACATTTCCGTCCTGCGGTGCACTTTGAAAATAACAACAAATTTATTTTGGGGGGAGCAGCACTCCATCAATGAGGCTAAGTTACGTCATATATTAACTCGTTATTAACTGACCCTTGTCTGACACGTAGTGCCAGAGAAAAAAAAATGGTAGACACTCTAACTTACTGAACTCCAAGTCTGAGACTTGCCTCCGAAATTAGAATTGGTAACACTTTTTATAGCTGCTTAATTTAATTCTTCAGAATTTTTTCTTCCAATAAAATTAAGTACAACGAAAATTAACTATCCCCACCTTTTCTCTTTTTTAGCTTGTTTTTGAATTAAAATAAAATACTATACACAAGAATGAAAAATGCATAAAGCATAACGTGTATGGAATTACATAGTTTTAGGAAACCTGTTTATTGGACAGAAGTTAATTTATTAACGTGCGTTTCACCTAATAACCAATCAACGCACTCATTTCAGGTCAAACAATTAACATTCTATCGGTATGTTCATACTTCGCACGTTCATTCACAAAAAAGAAGTGTTATGGCCCATTTGTTAAGCAATGGTATAAATAAAACGATGTTATGAGTAAGCGGACCAGTAGCTAGCCTGAAGTACTACCGTGCTATTACCCCTCCATTATTTAACTACATGCGGTGTAGGCGACTGACTCAGCACTGTACACCCTAGGGCCATCGTCCAAAAGCAGAAAAACAGCCGGATATCTATTGGACATCTCAGTCGTTATTTTTATCCGTAAAGAAAAATTTGAAAAGACTATATAGCGTTCTTTTATTTTTAAACAAAAAATTATCTGTTGTGTCTGCTCAAATTACCAGTATATACCTGTCGTCTGGTTTGTGACAGCTAAATGGCGGACATTGGTGAACCCTGCAGACGATGTGTTTCTATTCGCAAAAGGCCGATATTTGTGGCAATAATTGGAATTTTGTACTTGACTTTTTTGGTGGGGTTGACCACTGCTACCCAGGAAGTCCAGCAGCTCTCAGAGGGCGCAGTAAGTATAACGTCCATTATTAAGTATCTGCTTTCTGTTTAGAAATACCTTGATATTACAGATTTAAAAATATTATCTGCTAAATCACCTGTTAGATCAACTAATAACACACCTACCCGTTATTTTTTTACACAGGTGTATTTACAATCTTTAATAAACTGCGTTCGAGTCATATCCAAACTGCAATGTTCTCGTTTTTGAAAATTTTTTATGTTGAAGAAATGATATTTTCAAACTGAAGGTGTAAGCATTTTATCAAGTTTCCGGTAATTTAACTCTTTTCAACTTGCAATTAGTGTTGATTGATCGCTGCCTCTGCCAGAGTAACATACTTTGAATTCGCTTCTATCAAGTTCAATTAAGTTTCAACAACTGATATACTAAAAGAAATAGCGAACTTTGAGAAATGATAAATTAACACAAGTGTGATGCAACAATTTCTGTGTTCCTGCAGCTAAGATTAAATTATAGCGTCCAAGTTACTGCCATACTGAACATACAAAAGTCCAGTGAAGTCTTCACTTTTACTCAGATGCCTGAATGAGTAATTACAGTATGGCATCGGCTGCACTCTTTTGACAGACTGCCTATACAAACTCTTTGTATCGATCTCCGAGAGAGTCCAAACTATGAATTTTTCATTGTTCAGAAGCCGATAATCGGGATATCCGAGGAGGAAAAAGTTGACGCACAGGAAGATCATTTTTCAAAACAATAAAAGAAATTGGTTCAGACGTGTGCATCTTCAAATGTATGAAAAAATATAAAATACTGACGAAATTTGTTTGACATTTCTACCCGTATTTAAATGCAGCAATCTTCATTTTTTTTCAGAACTATTTAATGAAGTATGGGTATATATCTGCTGACGACGAGCGCTCTGGGTCGCTCCGATCCCCCGACTCCATCAAACAAGCAGTGCGACAGTTCCAGAGGTTTGCAGGACTTCCTATCACGGGTAAGAGCACGTGTAATTTACTATCACGGGTAAGAGCACGTGTAATTTAGTGCATTTTATTAAGAAAAGCACCCCACCCAGCCTTTAACTCAAGTAACATCTCTATCAATTAAGGAAAGAATTGTTGACCGTGGTATAGGATTAGGGGAAGCCCCCTTTCTGAGTCAATGTACTAAGATTATACAAACAAGGCTGTGTTAAAAACTTGCTGCAATTCAAGTTATATGATATTTTCATGTAAATAACGGTTGCAATTATGGCAACAAATTGTCCTACTAAGCCAAATATGCAGGAGTAAACAACCAATGCAGACCAAAAACTTTATAACGTTCACTACCTTCCCACGCATTTGACATGCATTTTGTTTCCTCATATATATATATTTTTTTTTAGAAAAACAATTTGGCGCGAAATTTCATGGTTCTGTAGGGAAAACCCAGCGCCAATTACTGTCAGTAGTGGGTGATGAAGCTCTGGCATCCTGTTTAGAAACACGTATCCGTGCGGTCAGGTTTCTAGACACGCTTCCCATATCTATTTTATGAGCTCTCAATTTACCAACATCATGAATCACTCTCCAAGACGAAAAAAAAGTGTCAAAACAAAAAAAACTTTAAATGAACATGTGTAGTGCAAAGGACGTCACTTACTAAATTTACTCTAAGATCGTCTGTACCAATGATGCGCGCAATTTTGCACTTCGTGACCATGGCCTAGCATTTAGAAATTAACTCATGTCTTGCTAATAACCCGTTTCAATTACCAATTCATGTTAAAGCAATGTCAACTCATCTGGAAAAGGATTCTAACAAGAGGCCCTTGGGTCACATTGCTCACTTGAGTCAAACCTCTCTCTCTCTCTCTCTCTCTCTCTCTCTCTCTCTCTCTGACCAATAGGTGTGATGAGACCCCTCTGACCTCCAACCAAATCCAAGGTCATACGCTATACATACTGACTACTAGTATTCCATGCATGCATTAAGTTGAAACGTAGTTTTCTTCAGAAAGCTTATATCGACAGGGGACATACGACAGGCAAACTGACGAACAGAAAAACTTGTATGAGGAGTTAGCTCAGGTGAGCTAAAAGAAATTTCGACTCCGATTACTTTTCAATTAACCATATGTATTGAATCACATTCTCAATATTTAAAAGGAAACACTTAATTATTCCAGCCGATGGCGTGTGATATGGGGGTTAGAAATATAAATTTGAGAGGTTTAGGGGGTCACAACTATAAATTTCAAAAATACAATAGGGAAAATTTAGAAATATAAATCAAAATCTTGGCTATTGCCCCCTAGTCCACTTCTTTAAAACGCTTCCGCTTTCTCTATATAAGAAACTTTTTTTGTTCATATCTCCAAAATGGATCAAATGGTATTCTTTTTTTATAGGGATCCTGGACAAGGCAACAGTTGACATGATGGGTAAGCCTCGTTGTGGTGTCAAGGACAATGTCGGAAATGCAAACAAAGCGCGCAGGCGCCGCTATGCTTTACATGGAAGTAAATGGTCAGAGAAAGATCTCACGTTCCGGATTTCTAAATACAGTGACAAAATGTCAAAAGAGGAAGTGGATAAAGAACTTCAACGCGCATTTGACGTAAGTTTTTTTGGACCTATTTTGATGTAATTTAAGATGACATATGTAAAAAAAAAAAAAAAAAAAAAAAGCAGCCAGTTTCATCGCAGTACAATTACTGTACAATTTTGACTTAAATAAAAACAATGAAAGGAACCAATTTTATCTTTAGGAATGGGGCAAAGTCACGCCCTTGACATTTACCAAGGTAACAGGGAAAGCTGACATTGATGTAAGATTTGAAAAAAGATGGCATGGAGACAATAACCCTTTTGATGGAAGGGGTCAAACTTTGGCGCATGCGTATTTCCCGCGGTATGGTGGTGACGCCCACTTTGATGATGATGAGAGGTGGACAATTAATATTCGTAGTGGTAAGTTCTTTTATTTAAATATATCAACCTTTTAGCCATTGAATGATACTAATTCTACTTTTTAAAAAAAATGTTTACTTTCGTCTCTGTTTGAGAAACATAAAACCAAAAAATAAATTCAAACTAAATCGAATTTACCTACCATTTTAAGATTTACCATGCATCTATTTTAAATTTTAGAGCTGACAAGTTGCATTAAATGACACATAAAAAAAATCAAAGTATTGCCTTCTTATAATAAAAAGAAATAGATATTTGGCAAAAACTCATAATAAATATTTTCTTGGTGAAAGTCCTTTAAACTACAGTTTCATATGCATGTATTTACTGAAACTAGTCAGACCATTTCCCTATTGGGGATTTTTCCTTCTTTTTTTAGGTGTGAATTTCTTTCAAGTAGCTGTTCATGAAATCGGCCACTCGTTAGGCCTGGCTCACTCCGATGACTACAGGGCTTTAATGGCCCCCTTCTATAAGGGCTACACACAGGAATTCCGCCTGGACAGTGATGACGTGGAGGCAATACAGACCCTGTATGGTCAGTACCACAGCAGTTATCTAAAAATAGACATCTATTTACTCCGCCCTTTTCACTAAACTGTCAAATACTGTAAAATCACTTATTTTCATGGGGTCAAATTTTTGTGGTTTGATGAAAAAAGGGGATTTGATTTTGTGGTTAAAGCAGGAACATTATGAAGCACTATGCAATTTTCACATTCCGTGGGGGATATGAATTCATTCCACAAAAACAACGAAAATTAACCCCCACGAAAATTTATGATTTTACTATAATATTTATATATTTGAGGTGAAAGTAAAATGGTGTTGAAAGCTTCTTCGTGTTGCTGTATAGCTTTCCGGAGTCTCCGGTGAAAAAAAATTCAACATCAGCAGATGTCGTGTTGAAGTCTTGCGTGCCAACTGTTATCGCACAACTATCTACTTTCCTACTCGCATTTTGTCATGCTATTTTACCTTAATGGCGACCCTGACACAATGCGGATAACAATACAATTCCTGATTATTTTTAACCTTTATCTCAAACAGGAACACCTGCATCAAGACGAAAACCCAAACCTAAGCCCACTAAACAGGTCATTGTACCAAAACCAACTAAGGCAACGGTGACGAAAATCCCGGAGATCTGTAGGGACCCATCTATTGACGCTATTACCCGGACGAAAGACGGCAATACATACGTATTCAAAGGTACAACGGAATTTCCAAGGCATTTAAGATGTGGAAACTTCACATTTTTACTTAATAGTATTTTTTTTAATAAACAAATCATTTGGGGATCAAAATTTGACAATTACTTTCACTTATAGCGAATAATCAAATAAAAACTATGTAGGCTAGGGAATCTTAAAGTATGGGTAGATGGGGATCTTAAAGGAAAAAAAAAACAATTTTACGTATTGCTGTAGGGAATTACCACTACAGACTGAATGGTGCCGGTATAGATAAGGGTTATCCACGACCCATATCCTGGGACTGGAAGGGCGTGGACGGACCAGTTGATGCCGTACTTACCTGGGAAAATGGATTTACCTACATATTCAAGGTAAAACTATCACTTTTGATTCTATAATAATTTATATTTTATAATTCTATAATAATTTCAAGATTGAAAATCGTAAATTGCACTTTTGATTTGTACTATTTGTATGGATTTTGATTTTTGTTTCTACTATCTTAACAGGGTACTAAATACTGGAAATTCTTCAATAGAAGACGCATTTATGGACCAAATAAGATAAAAGACGGTTTTAGAGGTGTCCCCGATAACGTGGAAGCAGCTATGGTTTGGGGAGGGAACGGCAAAACGTATTTTTTCAAAGGTATATACATGATTTTTAAATATTGACATCGTGTATTTGATGTTTGTTTCGGTCCGACATTGGCCTCCTGGATAAAAATGAAAATTCCATAACTTTATTGCACATGTACAGAAATCTTTCATGGGATACTGATGCAAAAGAAGTTACTGTGTGTTCTCAGACTGATAGCGTGAAATTCCGTGCATATTGTAAAGCAATTCTCTGAGCATTTTTACACAGATAGTAAATGTGTTTCACAGATCATTCTACCTAAACTCCATGTTTTTTGGTTTGATTAGAATTATTTTTTTACTCGTTTATCTGCAGAGTATTTTATCACTGCAATGACCTTGAACAAGGTCATCTGAATTGAAAATCAAAAAATGCCTCAATTAATTTTAATTTCCCGTGTAAAGGAGGTCAATACTGGCGTTATTCTGGTCGGAAGGTTGACTTCGGATACCCCAGACCAACAACCCACTGGAGAGGACTTCCCAAAAAAGTCACAGCGGCATTCAGATGGAAAAATGGAAGGACCTACTTCTTTAGCGACAGAAAATATTATCGCTTCAATGATCAACTGTTTATGGTATGTTGTCATAGATAAATTGATGCGTATTTGGTGGAGGTTATTTTGAGCAGTATAATATTGTCACGTCTGACCGGTGACTGAGAAATTTACGTCAAAGATCCAATAATAAGTGGTCAAGCATCATTAGGTCACGTGGTCTTGTGGTTGATACCGAAAAGCGCATATGGGAGCGACATCCAATCATTTTCTTGCATAAGACAAAGCACTCACATTACGGTGGTTATTTTTTTTTTTAATTTCACTTCAGTGCGCATCTTATGTTTCTTTTTATTGTCTTTATAACAATTTTCAACTGCCAATGAGTACATTACTTATTATTAGTCATGTATTCATTGGTAATTGAATATTGTTCACCAGTGAAAAAACAGTATTAAAACGACATCTTTCAATATATTTTTTCCATATAAACATCCATATTTATACGTTATATGTTTATAACATATAAATATGCTATACATGTTAAATAACATTTTCCATGTTATTAAACATTGTATCAATGGGGAAAAATGAATTTTAAAACTTTAAATTTTTGTTTGCAGACGGATACGTCTTATCCAAGAGAAGTAGCAACATGGTGGCTGGGCTGTCCAGACCAAGGTACTAACGCAAACATCAAAGATCCGTACGTCAGACTAGAGACCAATCGTCCGGACGAACAATGGATCATTATAGACGACACAAATGTCAGTCCTCCCCAGCCACAAACCAATCAGTCAGGCCGTCTGTTTGATCCCCTATCCCCAGTCTATTCCATTATCTTGTGTTTTGTACTCTTCCATTTAAATCGGTGGCGATTTCCTTGATGAAGAGCACAGAATAGTGGGGCTTTTTTACGAGCTGAAAAACGTAACGTGAGACTCCGTAAAAGACAAAGGGAACGAAAGTTGCTCTGCTCTGAGAGATGGGTTCGTCCGGGCTGGGAGACGACTGAGGAGTGAGACTGTTACATTCCCTTGGAACTTTTCCTCGGAAAAGTCTACAGGCATCTTTTTCCGTCCGTGCCACGCTGTGATATACCATTGTACAGTGCTGAAAACTGGCACTTTTATTAACGTTATTTATGATATGTAAATGAAGTGCTATTCCAGACTGTGCAATTAAACATACACAATCTATGATAATTAAAGGTTATAAACTTCGTTAATAATTCACTGATTAATTTATCATTCCATGATAATGAATCCAATGGAAAGAATTATAACAAATATACTGTAAGAGACATGAATGTTTTGCAATTGATGAATGTGTATTGTTTTGCTGTTGCATGTACTTCTGTAACGTGAATATATGTAATGTATGTTTGTAAAAATTAGTACTTGAATTTTATTCTTTGCATCATAATCATAAATGTGATCTAGTCAGCCACGAGAATTGAAGCATGATTTTCAATTTCTATATACTATTACTGCAGTGACCTCTTACAGTTAAGTACCGCTTTTCGCAATATATCAACATCTTCGCTCTGTTGGTTATTTATTTAAATACAAGTTGAGAATTTCCTGCCTGGTAAAAATCGGCTGTTAATCAAGGATTCAGTTCACTTTGCTTTGTATTTATAATTTATATCAATATTCTTTTATATATGTATATATTGATGTTCACGTTAAGAAAATTTTGCATAGGAAAATCTTTTTTATACATGAATATAATAAATTCTTGAACAAATGAATTTCACTTCTTTTATTATTTCATCTCCTGCCTGTTTTGAGTTTAAGAAATATACATTTACATTTATATATTAGAAGTACATAGTGATTAGACAAGTTTTAAGAACACATGTTCACTCCTCTCTCGTTAACCTTCTTATCATACATCGAAAGTTGAACCAATTAACAAAGTCTGATATGGCGGATCTGTATACCTAGTTTTTTTTTTAACAGGCTATTATTGGGCTCTTTTTTGAGAAGAGAAATGTTTAAACACATAATGGCTGTATGTTCAGTAAGGGAAATCAATCGTAAAGTTATTGCGATTTACTTCTTTCGAGAAGTGGAAGAGTTGTATTTCGCTAAAGCGCACCTCATACACAGATTAAAAACAATTTTATACATTTATAAAATGTATAAAATACATTGTTACACTCATAAAAAGAAAAGTGCAAACACAATAAAAACTGAACTTAAATAATACCAATAGTTTCTTTGTTCTATATTATAAACCTCTCTCTGCAGAAAATACCAGTCGTTTCGTTGTTCATTTTCTTAATTACAGAGGCCCTCACTGAAGAAAATTTGAACTACTTTGTCTCCATTTGCAGTGTAAGTGTATGATTTTGATTAACATCGAGTCTAAGGTTAGAAAGTTGTATAATCTGGAATCGGTAAAATTAGTAAAATTAGTAAAATCAGTAAAATCAGTTAAATTCAGATCAGACTGTTGAATAAGTGAAGGAACAACACTGGGAGTTCATGACTGTAAGAGAAATGAAACAAAGGATGACTTACGCTGAAGTGTGATTTAACCTCTTGACCTGGAGTTAGAGGTCCTCCATCAACGCTGACGTTTTTGGGATGTCTGTTAAGTCCGTAGATATCAATTGTTTCGAACTTAAGCTGTCCCGCTGGGACGGTTCCATTATTTATAACCATTATATCGATTCTTTCGCCCTTCAAAATGATTAAGTACACAGATTTTCTTTATATTATTTTAAAAGTTAAGACAAATTGCAAGATTTTTTTAATTATATACACTACTCACCATGATAAATCGAAACTGAAGTTCTAAATAATTTTTACTCTTAATTGAATCTGAAAAAAGTCATACAAAATAAGATCCTGTTTATTTTCAATAACAGAAAGAAATCATAAAAATAAAGTAGGAAATAAGAAGGAAATAAGAAAGGAGAATAAATACCTGAACGCTCTCCGTCATCTATAAATAGACTTCCGTTAGCATTGCCTTCTTCATCAGGCACAATCAGAAGACCCATGGGATTCAATCGACTACAAACAAAAAACATTATTTAATAATTGATGTCTTTACGACAAATAATGGAATTGAGGTAAAGACAAACCTTGTTTTAGTTGTATTTCCTGGATCTTGCACAGGAACAACAATTCCTCCACGAAGATGGAGGTTCAAGGTTAATAGAGGGGCGTCCAAGGTCATGTCGCGCCCTGTTCCAGACCCCGGAATTTCGGTACCCTGGAAATGTTGAATTTTATCTCAAAACAATCTTTCGAATATCAAACTTATGATCATAAATAAAAAGGGACACGTATTTTATACCAATACATGGATTTCTAAAATTACCTTATAGTAGTCGAACCAACGTCCTTTGGGAAAATAAACATCCACCTTTCTTACATTCTGTAAAAATATATTGTCCAATTGTTCTAAGTCATTCAACGGGAATTTTAAAAAAATAATTAGAATTCTTTTTAGATTATTTATCAATTACAAATATGGTAAACTTAATATAATTTCCTCACATCCTCCAAAACTGGTGAAATTAAAACTGAAGATCCTAATAAAAACTGTCTATCTATTGCCCACGTCCGGTTATCTGAGGGAAATCTGAAAGATCAAGATTTCATTTGACAAATTCTACATTTTCTGTTGTGTCCTGAAAAGGATACAAATCTTGAATTAAATTTTAATTATGCTCTTTATAAGAAGATTCTGTTATCTGTACTCACTCAAACATGACCGGCCTAACAACCGTTTTTCCCAGGGTATGAGCGTCCTTAAACAACGTGTACATGTAAGGCAAAAGCTTGTATCGTAAGCGGAGGTGACGACGTACGTTGGAAATAAACGCTTGATCCCAGGCCGCCGGATCTTGTGACTAAGATGGAAATAAAAAATTTATTAGTTTTAATTAAAACTACTGATACACTACTGAAAGACGGAGTCAAATACGAGAAATTAAATTTCTTATTACCTCTGGTCAAGTTCATCAAAATCAATATTTTAAAATAAAATTTAAAATAATGAACCTTTTCGTTAATTGCATTGTGGTTCCTGGAGAATGGATAGAAAGCTCCTAATTGATGCCATCTTATACACATTTCATACTGAGCTTGGCCACCAAATCCACAAATATCAGCCCCTATCTAAAAAAATAAATATATAATAACTGTTATGTTTCGATCATAATTTTAATGACGTAAAATACTGGACAAGGGGAATATTAAACATTTATACCATAGGGAATCCAAAGATGCTGAATTCCAAAAGACCTGTAAATAAATATACATCAGAGATACAATTTTTTAAAAGAAATTTCATATCAATGTATTCCACATCAAACCAATCATTGTGTATTTGTGAGGTACTAATACAAACGTGTACGAAATTCATATTGTAAATGTATATTTTCTTAAAACACCATTCTTAGCCATGAATGGAAGTAAACTTATTCAACAATGCATAAAACCCCTGTCACACCAGGACTGCGTCCTCACGGCGATCGTACGGCGTCCATAAGAAATGCAAAACGCCGAGGTGAGCGCAGTAGAGTCTCCTACAGCGCCGTGACAACGCGGCAAGATCTCCACTGAACGCGGTAAGGTCGCCTAGGGTCTCCTAGAACGTCAGGGGACGGCGTGCACTTTGGTCATGCGCAAAGTACGCGCCGTGTGAGTGCGGTCTGATAAGAACGCAGTAGAAACGTAGTATGATCGCCGTAGCAGCGCAGTGAGATCTCCAACAACGCAGTGGGAGCTCTGTACGCACATGATCGCAGCATAAACACAGTGATAGTAGACTGCGCTTCCACGGAGACCTTGCGGTGTCCTTGGAGATGTCCCTTCGTTTAAGAACACATTGTAAACGTATTGCGAACGTAGCCAGCGCAGTGAGAACGCCGTGAACGCGAGGTGACAACTCCTAACACGCCGTGAAAACTCCGCGGAAGCGAAGTCAATTGCCAAGAGATCTTCATGGGAACGCAGTAGCACGCCGCGAGAACGCCTTAGAAACGCGTCGGTCGCCGTTGGGACGCCGTGACATCTTCACATCGTAAAAATTTTACAGAAATTTGTGCTATTTCCCTGCGATTCCACGGCGATTTTAAAAATTCAACAACGCCGTATTAACTTCGTGGGGACGCAGCTTGGTGTGAAAGGGCCTTAAGATATCAATGATTGGTCATGTGTTATAGTATAAATTTTAAAAAGATTATATACCAACGATAGACCAATGCATGTCCACCCATTGACTGCGATTATCGCCCAGCCATTTGGCGGCGTGTTTAGAAGTCCCAGAAAAAGTGGAACGTGACAAAACAAACGGTCTCTTTCTGGGTCTTAACTCCTGCAATGCCCTTCAATCATAAAAGTTGAGATATACTTGTAATTTCATACAGTGAGGTAGGGAAGGTTAAAAGTAAAAAGTTAATACAAGTAAAGGTATATATATATTATATACTTGTTGGTGACCATGCTCTCGCTATGCCCGTATAAATTATGTACGTTGTAATGTCTTCCCCAGTGCTGCATGGCGTCCATACAGATGGTCTTATAATACAGGCTGCCGTTATCTTTTTCTCCTTCCAATATTGCTTGAAACAAAAAAGCCATAGCTGTTTAAATTCAGAACTCTTTCTAATTTCGTAATGGGCATGGTGATAAAGTATATTCCATTTTTTAAAATTTCTTTTATTCTTTGAAAAAGTTATATGCTGAAAATTTTACCTGGTAGCAGTAAAAACAACTTGTCATGTAATTTTTTTGTATTTCAACGCCACCCGGTAATTTCAAAATGTACATGATTATTGCAGGGTCTATTTTTTTAAACCCATACCACCAGCTTATTTCAGTTAAAATCTTTTCAACATTATTGTACATTTGTTGTAAACTCAGTATCTCCAGATTATGGTATTTAATGAACATTAATTCTTCTCTTAAATTCTCGAGGATATTTGATATTTGTCAGCGAACTTACGCATCACGTAGGGCGGGTTGTTCCACTGATTTCTTTGGCAACCTTGTTTAGAGCCCGGGACAAAGTTAGCAGGCTCATTCATGTCCTATCCAGCCAGAAAAAGTAAAATAAAATTTCTTTTCCTTGAAATAAAGTCAGAGATTGCCATTATGAAAACGTTTTTTAGGTCTAGAGGAAATATCTCTCTTTTAATGAGACTTTCAATAAAAGATTAAAAAAAAATCTAAACGTTTTATCAAAAGTTCTATGTGAAATCAACTCACGATCCAAAGTCCATCCACTTCTATAGATTCATTTTTTATAAAGTAATTAATCCACGTCTGCCAGAACTCTGTAGTTTTATTGACATTTGTGAAGTCTGGAAAGACGGTAAGTCCTGGCCAAACCTGCAGTAACAAAATTTAATAAAATACAACCAATGGTATTTTCTCAAAACAAACTACAGGAGACATGATAAAAAATGCTTTCCCTGTAGTACTGTCAGTTAGTAAACTTTTTACCTGGCCTTGGAGTTCTGTTCCATTCATTTTTACATAGATGTCTTTATTCTGTCCATCTTTATACATATTGTATCCTTTACTGTTATTTCGAGCCTCCTTGAAGATCGTTTGATTGGCTCCCACACCCGGGTCCTTCGACAGAAACAAAGATAAAAAACATAGGTAATCAGAGATTACAGAGCTCACTTCAACGGATAATGTCTTTAAGTAAGGCAAAGTCCCACACTAAACTAATAATCTAGTAGTGTGCATCCCTAGATGCAACATTTATGCAATTTTAGTATGATAGGGCTTGCAGTTATTTGGGAATGGACTTATCTAAAAACTTTAAACTAGTCACTCATCCAGAAAATGTGAGTCAAATCCAGCATCTGAAGCAAGTTTGAGAGTGTTCATCCCTTGATGCATCATCCATGCAAGTTTGGTTCAGATAGGCCCTACAGTTTGTTGGGTTTTTTCTTTGAAAAATGGACCTGCTCCAAAAACTTTAACCTGGTCACGAATCTGGAAAATAAAGGTCAGATCCAGCATCCACAGCAAGTCCAGAAGTGTGCATCCTAAGATATATCAACTATGAAACTATGGTCAATATAGTGCTTATAGTTACTTTAGAATGAATCTGCTCCAAAAACTTTAACTTGGTCACTCTTCTGGAAAATGTACGTCAAATTTAGCATCCGAAGCAAGTTCAGTATATGCATCCTTAGATGTTCATCGATGCAAGTTTGATCCAGGTAGGGCAATGAGTAACTTTAGAATGAACCTGCTCCAAAAACTTTAACCTGGTCACTTATCTGGAAAATGTAGGTCAGATATAGCATTCGAAGCAAGTCCAATAGTGTGCATCCTTAGATGTATCATCCATGCAAGTTTGGTCAACATAGATCTTATAGTTACTTGGAAATGAGACCTGCTCCAAAACCTTTAACCTGCTCCAAAAAACTTTGACCTGCTCCAGAATCATTAACCTGGTCTTTAGCTTTATGTTCTTTACATGTTTATATTCTTTACCTTAAATTACAGCATCTGAAACATTCATCGATAATGAAACGTACAAGAAGCATCTTCCTTGTATCTCTGATTAATATAAGGCATAGAAGTACTTAAAAAGAAATCTGTTCCAAAAATTTTAACCTTGGACGTCGAAACCGATGCCGAGGGTATTAAAATGAAATATTGGTATTTACTGAATAACATTTAAAAACAATACATCTGAATTTGTTTCAATTTGTTTAATTTTATTTTCAGTTACATTACCACAATCACGACCAGTCTTTGACCACTGCTATGGAGCTCATTTACAAAGTCTGGGAAACCTTCAAAAGTGACTTTGTCGTATGTGAAGTCAAATTTCTTGTACATGTAATCAATATCGGCCCATTGGGTGTCCTGTGGTAAGAAAAGAAAGACAAGTTTTTTTTTTTCTACGTGTGTACACTCATAATTATGATGAGTTTCTCTCACCCGCTACTTTATTCCCCATATTTTATACATTTCATTCGAAAAAAAAAAAAAGTATAATTTGGTGTACAATGTACGCGTTAAATCGAAGTTAAAAATAAAAAAAGTTTTGAATTTCTTTTCTTTTTTTTGAAGAAATGAATTAAGATTTGTAATATTGTAACCGAGTATAAATCTCTACCATTGGAATTCCGGCAGCCACATTCCTATCACGAACTTTTTTCATCTCCGTCAAGTTTCCGTATCCCCATCTACAGAGATGAAACCCTAACGCCCAGTATGGAGGCATGGCCGGAAGTCCGACAGTCTACAAAACAATTACAGAGATGAAACTCTAACGCCCAGTAAGGAGGCGTGGTCGAGAAGTTTTGACTTCATTTGGCGAAATTTGCAGTTTGCCAAAAACAAAATTATCTGGTATCACTTCTCGAAAATTTCTTAGCTGATTACACATGCAAAGAAAAGTGCTGCTGTCAGCTGATAAGTCATATAAATGTGACCTTAAATTTACTCTGTTAACTGATGCAACTTCTGTTTAAAATGTTGTCAATTTTACCTGTACATATTGTTGGACTGCCTCCCCCGGTGTCGGTCCTAGGAACACAAAGAAGTCAAGGATTCCGCCGATTACGCGGTATGTTACCGCTGGAAAGGGGTCAGGTTGTACTTGGATATCTGTATGAAACAAACAAAACAGTTATACTTCTTTTCATTTCTGTTAATAAACTGTGCTTTTCCTTTGGAATCTGAGTTCATGGTAATTTTAAGGATATGTTTTACCCATTCCATTGCTGTTTCTCAGAAACAACATGTTGGCATTTCCATCGTGTTCTAGGTTCATATACACTGGGTGGGATCCATACAAATTCCAGCGCTAAAAATAAACACTAATCAATTAATATCAGAACCATAATATCTAACAATCAAAAATAGTTACATAGCAAGGTTTGAACGACAAGTCGAAAATTTTTCTGAAGTTGGATAATTGAATTTGGTTAATGAGTTAGGGTAGTTTATTCCCAAGATGTGTCAAGATAACAGTAGTCATGATCAAAGGATTAATTAAACAATGCAGATTCAGGGCAGACTACGTGCGGGCCCCTTAAAACATCAGCGTTAGGATCGGGTGCAAAGTAAGAGTAAGATTACCCTGCCTACCCATCACACTAGTCATGGGTCGGATAAACATAGAATTCGGTCATTATGTGAATAATGGCCTAACAATTGTTTATAAAAACGTTACAATGACGCGCATTGAAGTGGTAAATTTTTTTCGTTTGAATGGAACGTTTGGGTCTTTCTTCTCAAACGTCGATTGTTACATAATGACACGCCCATTTCTTTAGAATTGATAAAACAATATTTGTCGCAATGTTTTAAGATATCCTACTCTCTGAGACTAGCAACGCGAGTTATGCTGAAATGGAGATTTAGTGAAGATGAGAGACAGAGCGAGACACTTCCCGCTTCTTTTAAACTCAAGCATTGCAACGAATATGTCCATTATTATATGTTTATGTGTCACAGGTGGTGAAAAACCAAGTCTCAACCGGGACTCGAACCCAGGGCCTCTGGCGTACCGTGCCTGCGCTCTAACCACTGAGCTATTGAGACCCAATATATTGACTGACTTTCAGGCACCTGTGAACCCGGTGACATATTCCCCCTCTTTGTAGAAATTCGTCCTCGAATTCTAGAAGTTAAGGAAATGCTCAAGGCATGTTCCTAGGGAATAGTGGGTATTTGTACGTTGGGCGCCAAATGTCACAAATGGTGAGAAATCAAGTCTCAACCGATAATCGAACCCAGTTGCTAAATACTTCGGTACTAGCTTGAAAATACGGATAAATATTTAATTGCTGTGATAAAATTTCGAAATTTATTTCAAAATTAAGGATTATCTCCCTCATGCATAGCTCTGATCCTTCGACGTATTTGGCTCCACTCTTTGAATAGCCTGTGAGGAAACGGATTATCAGTATAGATCAAAAAAGTTTGTGACGTCAAGAAATGAGATGAATGCTTCACTGTTGCGGATCTCATGAAAGCAGAGTTACGTGGTAAAAAAAATGAAAACAATGACAAATTAACTTTTACTACTAGAACAATTACCAGTTATTATTGGTAAACTAATTTTCAAATGGTATAGAAACGATTTAATGAGGGTATCGCAAGAGACTGTGTGTGAAATGCTTTGAGAAACTCGTGACATTGTGTTTTTTTGAAGTCCTTTTAAGTGTGGTAACAAAACAAGTTGAATTTAGAATCAAGTAATATGATTTCAATTTAATTACATGGAATGAAATTTCACACACCAATTAAATAAATATTTTTACATATGATGTCGAATTTCTTGAATATAATGTAACGAAGACTGTTTTTGTCTGCGAACATTTCTAACAGCCCACCTATACCGGTATCTACCGATACTGATTAAATTTGCTTGCCTCTTTTATGTAGCAATATACCCCTATCACCTTCATATGGAGTTTATCTCTCCCAGTTAATTCGATACGCAAGAACATGCTCTACGTAAAAACAATTTCTAAAACGAGGCAAGCTACAGACAAACACGTTGATGAAACAAGGATGTCATCAATTTCGTTTGAAGTCAACATTTCGCAAGTTATATGGTCGATACAATACAAGGTGTAGTACAAGCTATTATTAAGTCGAATGCTGACTGACGTTTTTCAAAGTAATTGTCCCGCAATTTACACACTGAATTGTCTAGGGATTTTTCAGTTTGCTCTGCTCACGATTTGTATTGTTTCAATTAACTTCTGAGCTTGATTACTGTTCGTTATTTCCACATTGCATCATGAAAAAAAAATTTAGTCTCGTTTTTTTGAAATGTTACTTGACAGGATGTAATCATTTCTATAGGTTCTTAATAAATTACAATAACTGTGGTGAGTGGTGAGTATGGTCATTTTTGTGTAACAAAGGTTAATTTTGCTGATTTAATATCATAAAGAATATACAAGTAAGGATATGTTCTTCAACATAGTTGCATTGCTAGGCTATTCTTTGAAAAGATATCAACCATTTCTTTCAGAGAATTTCTCATATGAAACCAAACCAAGGCTTACGTCAGTAGGTGATGTGTCACGTGTGAACATCGGCCATGTCTTCCAGTTCATGTCGTGTTTGAATTGTTGGTGATTGTGTTCACCAAATCCATACAGATTTTCTGAGGGTAAACGGTTTGTGAGTTGGAGGAACTGTTCAGAAAATGTTAAACCTGGGACAGAAGAATTAAACCTACAAAAGATATTAGATTTTGTTTTATTAATTGCCAGAATTGACAAAATGAATCGAATGATGTACATTTGATGCTTAAATATGTTTATAAATACAGATTACAATGATAAATTATATTATAGTATTATAATACTTAGTATGTTGTAAAAGTACAAATGAATAAAAAATTCGTCTTAATGGTAAGTTATATACCGGTAAACAATATTATTTTTCACATTAATTACAGTTTGTCAATTATTAAAACTGCTAACACTAAAGGTAAATTTTACAGTTTCAGAAAAAATATAAATATCAAGAAAGAGTTACACGACAGCTCCAGAGGAGATCCGAGTGACGACAATACCAAAAATGGGCTTCTGTTGAATGGTGACGTTATACAGTCTCTGTCCTGATTGGTGCGCGGTGTCCAATGGTAAGGCTTCTGGTGGTATTTCATAAGGCTTTGGTGTCACATTTGGCATAAACTGAAATGTCAAAACATTTTTTAACATTATGAAATAAGTGAGATCCCTAAATAAAAAAAAACAAGATGTAGTATTTGTCTTTTCTTCTTAAATGGAACGTTGTCTATTTTTATATTCAGAAAATAAAAAATATATTTTTTAAAACAGGATGATGCCTGATATTTTGGTTCACATTTTTTGTTTTCTAGTGTTGTAAACTGAAAAATACCTACACCGTAATTTTAAAGCATGGGCTCTTCGATTGAAATATGTAACAGTTTTATTTTTTCTGGTCAGCCTTTTATCTATCGAATATTCTGTCTTTAAAAGTGTTCATCTATTTTGTAAATTTGGACTACTGACTGTCTTTGAAAATGTATTTCAGAGTATTTTCAACTCGGACAGATGCTCCATTTCCCCAGTACTTTTGCTTCGAATCAATATCATGATGTTTTAGAATAAGAAAAAAAATTTATTACAATTAACAAATAAAATCAGGAAGAATATAAGAAAATATTGGATTTTTTGCGGATGCATTTTTTTCTTTAATTTTTCATTTCAAAAAGTGATTTAAAGGGAAGTGATTTTTGCCTGGAACAAGATTATAGAAAGAATTGCCTACCTTTATCCTGAGTACCCTAGGGTTATACATATCAACAGTTACATTAATCAGCTTGTGAATGTCTGTGTTGAATATCGTTTTATTCAGTGTTTGTCGAATCGAAAATTTAATTTTCTGGTCAGTAGTTTGAATATCCCCCTCAACAGTATAGGTGTGCTGTTTTGGATATATGCATCTAGGAGCTCGTTTGTTCTTTGGTGTTTGCCATAAGCACCTAAAACGATTTATTTATATTCAAAAATATGCTTCTTGTTGTTAAAAATATTTATTAATAAAAATTTGACACCGACAAATGAAAATTATTCAATGAAACTAAAAATTATAAAATATAATATGTTATGATATACTTTTTTTCTATCATATAATATTTAAAATCAATGATGCCAGGTATAATATGTTTTATCCTTTGACAGATAATATCCGGATTTTTTAAGACCTTTTAGATATCAGTGTTCATTTATGTATTTATCTTTAAAGTGTTAAGAGAGCATCTTGTATAAATATTATAGATAAAATCTTCCTTAAGGTCCCTCGCTTGTATATCTATAAATGATAATAATACACGATGTTTTGTATAAGATCTTTCATGCCATATAACAACATACAATCAATCATGCCATATCAGGGACAGGTATGAGTAGGTATCGAAAACATCATCCATACCAAATCTCATTTTAATCAGTGTGTTAAAATTCGTTACAATAGTTCTTTTTACATGCAGAAGCCTACAGATCAATGTCTACCACTGTCAAACTACCCCGATATTTATCTTTTCTTTTTTACTTGTCGATTTATAAATGGTAAAGAAATTGACATCAATAAAAAAAGGAAACTTATTTTCATCAGAAAAAATATAATAAAATTGAATTGAAAATGTAACTGCATTGACTGATTGATTGCATACTGTTTTACGTCCCGTTCGAGAATTTTTCACTCATAGAGAGACGTCACTATATACCGGTGAAGGACTTCAAATTTAGACCTTTACACGGCACTCAAGGCAGTGAGGGATCTTTATCGAGCCAACGCCAACAGTGACACGGGGCCTCGGTTTTTAAAGTCTCATTCGAAGGACCCGCAACTTTCACTTCAAAGTGCCGAGCGCTGGCGAAGGAACAGTTGCTACCTATTTTTTATCGACTTAGGTCAGTCGCGGCCATGATTCGGACACACGTTACCCTCCGATCACGTAACTGCATTGAAATGCAGTCTGAATGAATTCAATTCCTAAAGGTTACATTAATCATACAAATGTATATGAGTTTTGAATGGAAAGAACAATCTAATAATTACCAAAATACAATGTAAACATCCTGTCCAGAATGTTTATTTCAATGTAATATTTTTTTCTGAACGTACCCGGTCTGTTTACACTCTGCTTCAGTTCCTCTTCTACCAGTACAGTCCACAATGACGTCATCCTGTACGTATAACTTCTGTGGTTTTACAATGAAATCTGATTTGTGGTACTGATACTGCGGCTTTGATTGGCTGATCGCTATTGGTGTTGCTATGGCAACCACCAGAACCACAATAACAAACACCAAAGCTAACACCCTCTTCCATCTTTTCCCAGATTTTTCTTCGTCTGTACTCATAACGGTTGATTCTCCCCGGATACACTGTGTACTGTATTTTTCTCTGATGATGTTGAGTCACGTTATCTGTCCCAGTTGTAGATGGTGCAACGTCTTCATGATAACAAGATGAGAGATGTACAAAAAAAGTACACGATAACAGTATAAGCTACTGCATTCATCCAGTGACACTTATAATACTAAGCAAACAATTATAAACTCCACTTCCCAATTCGGAACATATTTTCAAACTCACCATGATAAAAATAAGTCACAATCACAAACAGGTTATTAATACATTTATTGAGCATAAATCCACTTTCACATCTAGACTACTTGATAAATAAAATGGAATACACGGTGCAGTGAGAAGTATATGCACCTAAATACTTAACTGGAGTGGATGTACATTGGAAAAGTCTTCAGCTTCCGGAGGTGATTTGGATTTGGATTACGAAAAACTCAAATAAATATTATTAACGAGAAAAACTCAAGCAGATATCATTAACGAGAAAATTCAAGCAGATATCATTAACGATAAAACTCAAGCAGATATCATTAACGATAAAACTCGAGCAAATATCAGTAACTATGAAACTCAAGCAAATATCGTTAACGAGAAAACTCAAGAAAATATCATTAACAAGAAAACTCAAGCAGATATCATTAACTTGAAGATGTCATTAAAGAGAAAACTCAAGCAGATATCATTAATAAGAAAACTCAAACGAGATATCAATAAGAATGAGAATCAGATTAGAACAATATCCCAAATTTGGAGATGGGCGAACATAGCGTGCAGAAAGCCTATAGCTTCAGAAATATAAAAATCATGTTCAGTTTGTGAATTTAATATTTAAAGTTTTCATTATTGAAATTTATGAAATTGTGATAAACAAAACTTTTCTGAGGAAAATTTTCTCGGAAAAATTTATTCTTTCATTAAAAAAATTAATGTGGTATTCGTGGGGTTCGAACCTTAGCAATAAAAATCCTGAGTATGATTTTCTTTCGAGACTAGCACGCTAACCACTACGCTACACAAGTCCTGACGAACAGTGGCATTTAAATCATGTTTGTGATATGACCCTTGACTTAATGGACTTCAAGTATTTCTCGAAAAGATGCGAATGTTATGTCATAAAAGTATATTTTTAAGGTATAGTGGGTCATTGCTCCATATTTTTGGTAACCAAAAAATGTATATTTTTATGCAAACTTTGAGAATTAACTTTCAAAAAGGTGGAGCGAAGACCCACTCATATCGAAAAATAGTGTTATAGTATGCGAAAATGACTCTTTTTGCCCGCTTTAGTGTGTGTCTTATATTTCACAGGCAAATAATTTCAATCTTTGAGGGATTTTTGCAAATTGTAGAGATTTTACATAAAGTATATTTTAATGTTAGACGAACTATCAAGGAAAATTTTGATATAATTGAAATTTAATTTTTCATCTTCATGTTTGTCACACTATAGGCTTATTGCTCGTCATGTTCACCCATCTCCTTCACTAATATCCCACATACAATAAAATATGATTTACAAGTATTCAATATTTTCCTTTTTCTGTCAAATCTTCAAAGTTTAATGGCCTGGCAGTTTTAAACAAACACTTAGGTACCAAAGAATGAGGCAAACAAAGAATTTATTATTTTTTGATATCCTGATATTTCTTACTGTGTCAAACTATCAAGACATTGTGTGTACAAACGACTAAAACTATCAAAATACTTATGTCTTTACATTACAACTGCTCTGTGATATGTGTATATGGATAAAATTAATCTTTGAGTAGTCTTGGGGTAACATAGAGACCTACTAATACAGATTCTAAAAATATATTCTTGATTATATAGGGACTTTAATGATATACATAAAAATAAAATTACATGATAATAAAAAAAAGAATTCTAATATCATTACAGTACTAAATTATGTTCCATCTTAGGGTGTGATTTCTCGTCACATCCAAGTTGATATCAACAATTTGTACGATCTGAAAAATAAAATGATGACATGCATTAATTCAAGATTGATTTTGGCTTTTGTTCAGAATTACTCAGAATTTTAAAATTATAAATCAGCGACTGTATTTTGAGGTACAATGTACTCTCATCATTTGGGACATTGTTTTTCTCCATTTCGAAATACATCTCACATTATATGAAAATAATTTTCATATATTTAGTTTAAAAGAAAAGCTTAATTTACTCACTGGTGTTAAATAAATATCATCTTACACAATACCAATACGAGTATAAACTATAAATTTAATTTGATATTTTTCTATGCAGACGCTCCCAAATTTAAATTAAAGCGGCACTATTTGATAATTAATGTATTATCAATATTTTATAAATATTTCAGATTGAAACATAAAAGATTTTATGCAATTTCGAACCTAAATTTCTCTCACATAAATAGCTCACTGTTTGTACAGTATGATGACTTACATTATTCTTCATTCTTATATGACTCGCTCCTTTTCGTTCCTCATTAACGTACAAGAAGGAAGGAAAACTCTCGAGACCCGAGATCTCTATTACTGTAAAATTCAAATTTCCTGGCGGTGTGTATCCTTCATGGATGACTACTATATCTAGTTGTGTTCCCTAAATAATTCAAATAAAAAAAAATTTAATTTGTCTCCTTGATAATTTCATTTCCATATTCATAGAAACAATTGTATCTTACATACCTTATTTAGAGAAAATTTGAGCTCCAAATAATTTCCACTGGTTATGGAATCTAATGAATAAGACACTGACATTTTTATAAAGTCTTCCAATTCAATTTAACGGTTTATAAAACACTTTTCATGGACAATCACAGAGTTAAGGAGACTTAAATTAACCATGTTTACTTAGCAATATAATTAATATTTCCTTACTTATACTTTCACCGTCGTCCATAAATACAGTACCAGTCGCACTATAGCTATTGTCCAAAGAACACCAGAGACTCAAAGGATTCAGACGACTAAATGGAAACATATGTAATTATTTATTATCGGGATTGTGGAGCAAAAAATAGCCTGTAGCAACAAAAATGATAGATACATTTATCCTTAAAGGAGTCTTTGATAAGAAGAAGATTCAATTTTTTCTCTCTGATACAGTTAAGTGTAGTATACATGTACCTGTAGTAGGTAGAATTACTCGGATCTTGCAGAGGAATGATGGATCCACCCCTGGCGTGGAAATTCATCAGATGAAGAGGTGCATCAAGTGAGTGATGTTGTCCATTCCAGGAGTTGATTTCTTGTCCCTGAAAATGGACATTTCCTACACGTAAGACAATTTTGTACCTGTTATCACAGGACTTGTTTAGACAATTCAGATTTTTTTTTCAATATTTGCGATTGCGATTTTTTTTAATGCCTTTTATTATAAATTTGTATTTCTAAAATTTCTAAAATCTTGTTACTCCCGTATAGGTGTGCCATCTTGCTTTTGGAAAATATCCATCTACTTTTGTCTGATTCTACAAGTAGAAATAAAAGTATAGACTTTTAAGTCATATTTACTAATCATTTATAACATACAATATACGAAAAAAGATTTTCAGATAGCTGCTAACAAATCTTTATAATTATAGTTTGATTGAAAAGAGTGAAGATAACTAACGAATAGTGTTCAAAAAATACATTTGAGTATGCTACAAACAAAATTCGAAGTCAAGCAAACGTCATTTTTTGTTCTTTCTTTTCTAAAAGGTAGCACACTTTTGAAAGATTCACTTGAAATATTCAGAATCATTTCCTTGGAATGAAAAAAAAATTGTAAAAAAAAAAAATATATATATATAGATTTTTAATGATTTTTATGAGTGTAAATACTTACTTCTTTCAAAGCTGGTGATACAAGAATAGCATGTCCGAACATGAATTGTTGATCAATAGACCATGTATTTGGATCATCAGGGAACCTACATATTACATTATTCATTTGATTTGAAATACTTTTTTTCATTTAACGTATACAATTGTTTGGTTGATTTTTAGCCAACATCTTAACAATTTATTATATAAATGGATAAGCGCCTACTCAAACATCAGGGATCGTAGTACCATTTTGCCCTCAGTGTGGGCCTCTTTGAATAATGTGTACATATATGGTAAAAATTTGTATCGTAGCAACAGGTGATGACGGACAATACCAATGAAATCTGCGTCCCAGGCAGCTGGGTCTTGGTCCTAAAATATTCAATTTCCGTTCATCGCAAGCAATTTCATTTCAAAGGCCATAATCTGGTCAATTACCATTTGACATTTGCGCAAAATGCAAATTGTTAGTAGTTTGATCATTTCCATATTTAGTTTTTTTTGGTCAAACCTCTACAAAGTTTTTATTTGTTGGGCTGAAAATGCCGTTATGACTTCTGGCAAATGGGTAGAAGGTTCCAAGCTGATACCATCTTAGACAAAGGTCACGTTTATCAGCTCCGAAAAATCCACAAATATCAGCACCTACCTGTCCAGGGATATAAAGGTTAATGCTTAAGAAATAAAGTTCAGAAAAACTTATTTCAGTTATACAACTAACTTAACTCTAGAACTGTATAGCGAATAAAAATTTTATTTTCAGATACCCGTTCATTCTACAGTTTCTTTTTATTTTTGCAATTTTTTCTACATCTTAAAAAAAAGTGTGGGATTAAACCTTGGAAATATGTCTTAACTGCAAAACATTTATATACCTAAGTATAACTTTTTATCCCTATGGTGAGCCCACCCTGACCATGAATTTGTATCTTTATTTTACTGTAACTTTTGCTATTCTTAATTTTTTTCCTTTGTGTATATATTTCTGTTCAAAAATTTGACCTCAATATTTTCGCCCCATATTTTTCTGGCGTTTCTTCAAGCTTAGGTGGGATTTCCTATTAAAATAACTTCAAGAATCGAAAAATAATAAAATAAATACTAATGTATTATACATACCATAGGAAATCCAAATATTTGATATTCCAGCATCCCTGTGTAAAATTTAAAAAAAAAGGTATATAAGAGTCCAAAACAATAAACAAGATGAATATTCATTGAGGAACTGGATTCAAACTTTATAACCCTTACCTACAATGGAGTCGTGCATGTGTTTCCATTGGCTGTCATTGTCACCTAACCAGGTAGATGCGTAGTGAGATGTTCCCGCAAAGGATGACCGTGTCACTATTAAGGGTCTCTGATTTGGTCGTAACTGCGTAAGTGCCCTTAAAACCACAACTTTTTGATTTATTCTTACAAAACTGCCAAATTTCAAACGCATACAGAGGTAAATGTACTTTTATAAAAAAAAAAAAATTCATGTAAATTACATGCTTAACCATGCCATAAGAATTGTACCTATATGTTACCATACTCTCACTGTGACCATACATGCTGTGCACGTCATAATGTCGACCCCAGTGTTGTTTAGCGTCCATACACAACGTCTTGTAATACAAATTACCGCCAGCTTTCTCTCCGTCTTTAATCTCTGAAAATTACACTCAGCTTTTAAATTCCTCGCAAATCATAAGCCATTAATAAAATCAGAACATATGAAATTAAGTTATGTCATATCATAGTGACTTATTTTGAACACTTGTATCCATAAAGGTATTTCTATTGGACGTACTGGGAATAAATGGAGGGCTGTTCCATTCATTTTTCTCACACCCACTCTCGGAACCAGGAATAAAGCTTGCTGGCTCGTCCATATCCTACATCGTATGATGAAAAAAAAATATATATATAATATCCTCTTATATTATTTTAATTTCATTTAATGTTTACGATGAAAAAAAATCTTACGATCCATAGACCATCTGCATTAATGGATTCGTTCTTTATGAAGAAATCTATCCAACGAGCCCAGAACTGTGTAGTTTTATTGACGTTTGTAAAGTCTGGAAACACTGCCTGTCCTGGCCATACCTTGAATAAACAAACATACATGTACATTTTTTCAGGTTACATAACCAAACGTTTATTTTTAGATACTACTTGAGACAAAAATGTTATAAAATCTGTATTCAAATTTTATTTAAACTTTGTCAATTAGAAAACAAATTACGCCTACTTTCCCGATTAAGATGTCATCTTTTCCATCTTTTACCAAGATATTGCTCTGAACAGCGTCTTCATACATTTCATACCCAGGACTGTTTACTTTGGCCTCATTATAGAGAGTCAGATTAGCGCCAATACCCGAATCCTATTTCATACAATTCTAAACCTCTTTTAAAATTTTCAACAATATACATGTATTTAAAATTATATAAATACTAAATAATATTTAAAAAGACAAGCAAAATGAAAAATTGACATTGAATTTAAAATAACATTCAAACTAAACTATCAGTATTTTTGGTTTGCTTTAGACATACCACTATCACCACAAATTTCTTCTTCCTGTTGTGTATCTGATTAACAAACTGTGGAAGACCTCTAAAGGTGTTCCTGTCATAAGTGAAATCGAACTTTTTGTACATGTAGTCAATGTCGCCCCATTGTGTATCCTGCAATCAAATGGTGTGTTCCGTAAAACGTAAAAATCAAAACGATTTGTGTCTTGATTTCATTATTTCATGTTGAAAGTACATATACGATAATGTAGCTACAACTCAAAACTTACAAAGGGTATCTCTGCGTCAATATTTCTTTGGTGTACTTTCTCCATTTCTGACAAATTACCATATCCCCATCTACATATATGGAAACCCAAAGACCAGTATGGCGGCATGGGGGTTTTTCCAATAGCCTGACAATTAAGAAAATAGAATGGACTGCATGGGTTTTTTTTGTCCGATAGCCTGACAATTAAGAAGATAGAATGGACTCTAGAGCCACTATCAGTAGAAAACTTAATGTTTTCCATCGAAAAACAAGCTGTGTTTTGTGTAAGAAAATTCAATCGACATATAATCACCTGAATGTATTGCTGAAGGGCATGATTTGGGTTTTCTCCTAGAAACACATAGAAATCCAGGACACCTCCTATTGTTCTATAAGTTATGGCTGGATATGGAGCGGGCTGCAACGTCACCTCTAAAGAACAATTATTCTCTGCGTGAAACCAATGTTACAATTTTTCGGCATTCGGATTTATTTTTCATATCTTTTCCTTATTTTTTATTCTTAGTTTTGATAGTTGATACATATCTGATCAGCCTTATTGTACCTACCCATGGCATTGCTGTTCTTGAGAAACACCATATTTGCTCGACCATCTTTTTCAAGATTCATATACACAGGGTGAGCGCTATACAAATTCCAAGGTTCCTTTAAATTGAAAAGATTTTCATTGATAAGCTTAATTAAGGACCTAATAGTTCTCTCATATTTATTACATTACGTGATTTTTTTTCTCCTGCAATTTCGTCAGTTTTTGTAACACTTAATTTGAGAATACATAAATATAATTTCAATCTTAACGTTAAACTGTATATATTCATATACATATATTATAAACAACAATCCTCGATAGTTTTTATACCTTACAAAATCTTAATACATGTAGTATAGAGGAAATATGAAGATAACGAACAGTAACCAAGCTCAAAGGTCAACTGGAACAATACAAATTTGGAGCAGAGCAAACACAGACCTCTAAAAACAAAAGAAGTGGGATCAGGTGCCATTGAGGAGTAAGCATCCCCTTTCGACCGGTCACACCCGCCGTGTGCTCCTTTTCATTATCTGGCAAACGGAAAAATCCAGAAAATAAACAATTCAATGTGAAAATAATGGCCTTACAATAAGTATAAAGAACTTCAGTCATCATTTGACTGAACGATAAATTGGAATTGCTAACAAGGTCATTGTATCGACCATAAAATTTGCAAAATGTTGATATAAACCAAACTGTTGATATCCTTATATCATCCATTTATTTGTCAATAGCTTGACTCGTTTTAGAAATTGTCCGCATGTAGAGCATTCTCTTGCGTATCGAATCTATTGGGAGACATAAACTCAATATGCAGATCCAAAAGCAGATTAATGACATTAAAAATCTGTTGCTTACGTCATTAGGTGCGTAATCTCTGGTGAAGATGCCCCAAGTTCTCCAGTTCATATCATGGCGGTACCGTCTGTGGTTGTGTTCTCCGAAACCATACAGATTGTCCGTTGGTACACGTGCACTGATCTGCAGGAACTGGTCAGAAAATGTCAGTCCTGGTAAACTACTGTCAAAACTACAAGTACAAGAACAATTAATAGCAGATTATTCAAAGACTCATTCATGACTTTTTCAAATATTTGAAAACAACAAAAAATCGTGTGATTACAAATGAACATACATGACGGTTCTCGTGCTTTTCCTTGTAATTTTGATTCCAAAGGAAGGTCCCTTCACATACTCTACTGCGTAGTGTTTAGTGGACGATGTAGAGGGTCTGGTCATTTTCAAAGCCTCCTCTGGTATTTCATAAGGGCTTGAATTTGTTGGACGAAACTTTAAAGAAAAATCAAGTTCTTCAGTACCAAAAAGGAGTGCTTGAAGACGTCTATCAATTGTAATAGCTGTGTTTTTATTTATTTAATGTATTAATATACTGTATACCGTTATTTGACAACTGGTTTTTCATAAACAATATCTGTTTTACAATAACATTGTTCATAATTTTTCTCACGTATATTCTGAGGGCATTATCTCCATACTCATCGACCAGGACGTCCACTTGTCTGTGTACAGGTTTACCATACACAGTTAGGGGACCCTTCCTCACGATCCGAGCAGTAGATTGGGAATTCCCAATCAACTGGACGTCTCCAGACATTCTGTATCCAACAGCAGATGTGAAGATACACTTTGGAGCCCTTTTGTGGGAATGTGTAATCCACCGGCATCTTGACAATAAATTTACATTCGTTTGTACAAGAACTAAAAGGTTAATTTTGAAATATTGAAAGATAAATATATCGGTCAGGTTTAAAAGGATGTAACACTTAGTCTACAAATTTTACATTGTTCTATAATCTCACCAAATTTTGTGAGATAATAGTTATATAAAATAACGCACTTAAGTATCGGACTTATTTTCATTAAAATCTTAATTCAATCACGTACATAAAATTAAAAAGTAAATTATGCTCTTAGTCGTAAGTATTATTTAGTAAAATTCTAGGCTAACAACAGAAAATCTGTTATATTTAAATCTCAATGGACATCATAAGGGAAAGAAAATAAAACATACACCAAAATTGTACTTTTATCTACACTTCATTTACAAGTACATGTATCAGTATTTGACATACGACTTAAACTTACTGCTTTTGTTGGCATTCAGTCCTGTCAGCGCGGACAAGATTCTTACTATTGGGAGGATCACAGTCGACTACTGCCCGAGTCCGGAAGTCTGGCTCAGGGGTGGATCCTTGTGATGGTGCGGGAGTAGAGGTCCGATCCTGCTTGGCCTCATTTGGAGACAAGGTCGAGCTGGGTGTTCCCTCTTCCTTTAACATCCGATCAAATACTATAGCGGACATTGTTATCGCCGCCGCCGATATAAGGAATAAAACACACATAAAGAATGTGTGCCTACCGGAATTCGAGCGCTGTTTTGACATTTTTATTTTGAATAAAAATAAGAACAGCTTGTTGATAATTTAAGAATGATTTGCATGAAGACGCTAGGGATTCAAGACTCGATCGATAGAAGAATTTACTTAAGAATTAACTGACAAGTACAGCAGAGTTCCAGGAGATAAAGGAATTTAAAAGATGGCACTGTCCCCCTACATTTCTGACTGGTCTGCAGAGATTTGATTTCAAAAGACCCAGCATTCAGCTAGCTATTTAGGAAACATTTTGATAATAAGTAACATTTCTGGAAGTTAAATTGTAACCTTTACTCGAAAACTCTGAAGCATGGGATAATTTCTTGTGGTTCCTTATAAATTCAGAGATCAGACAAATCTCATATGAAGTTTTCTGGAGACTTCCAATTCGATTCATATTTTTGGATGAGATATAAACACAAATTTTATCTTTTGTTTTAACATATTAAGTAACATTTGGACACAGTATCTTTCGAAGTTCTGTCTCAAATGGCCCCTTGAAATAAATATCTTACGTTTACTTTGTATATGTTTGTTTATTTTGCGCCACTGTACAAGTGAAGTTTATTCGTGATTTTAATTTTGATAAAAATGCCATCAATTTAGAAGTATGACATCATAGTTCACCTTTTCCGGCAATTTTAGAATATTTGGTACAAAATTGCTTATTTTCGTACAGTTTTTCTTCCAGAAAATATTGTGAGTAGACGTGCAAACTTTATATTTTCACCAAAGATGTATCTATCCAAGACTAATTAATGCCAGGAAAATTTTGCTTGTTCAAAGCTGCGCTCTATGTTTCCCATAGGAAAAAGTCGAGAAACATGCACATTTTTGTCATAATTTGATTGGATTCCAAAAAAAAACCCATTTCTGATATCATTTACTCCCCTTGAGCGCATATAAATTAGTCAAATGTATTGAAAATATCTCTAATATAAACCCTTCTACAAAATCAAAAAAGAGTTTAACAGACCTGAATCTCGTATAAAAATGTTTATTTGTGGGGATCAAAATTAACTCTTATCATATATAGTCCTTTAATAAATATCGTTCATTTATACTCTTATAGCAAACGTTAAAAAATGTTCTTTAATAGTCTTTTTAAGAACTAATTTTTGTAAAACAGCTACAGAAAATAATTTCATTGACACTAGTAAATCAAAGTTATTTACATTGAATTACACTGAATGACTCTTATTTACTTCTTTAAATTTCTCAAATAATCAAAGAAAAAGTCGAATTATATTCGATATAATTAAATTTTTTAAAGAAATTTAAATAACATAAAAACGCTATAATATTCTTCACATATCATTTTAAATATTATAAGCTTTTTGAAATTATACATATAAGCAACTTTATATGCATTTGCAAAGATGCAGTTAATCTAATATCCTTTCATCAGGTAATATTAAAAATAATGTCATTCATTAATTCCCCATATAAAAATTTAGAAATGGAGTTCAATTAGTGACCTAATTGTATGTTCTGTTTCATGTACATCAACTTCTAAAATTACAATTGTGGTAAATGTATTGCTTGGAGAATAAAAAACAAAATGAACATTTGAATATGCATTTTGGCTATCCATAAACAAAACACAAAAATCAATACAACAATACACTTCTCTAACTATAATTACTTTAATTATACTATAATTATAATATACTATAATTATATTGAATTCCCTATAAAATAGGATGTATAACCATTGCCGACTTTAATTATACTATAATTATAATATACTATAATTATATTGAATTCCCTATAAAATAGGATGTATAACCATTGCCGTTTTTAAAAAAATCTGTTGAAACATTAAATGTGTTTTAAATGCGTTTAAATAATTGTAAGAATCCTGCAACAGTCAAAATCTTGAAAGCAAATGACGGTGTTTCACCATCTTTATTACATCTTCACTGCATTCCTGTTTATATCACAGTCTTCATCTCCACTATTTAAATATAGTGTAGACGTGTGTTTCAACATTTTTCATTTCATGAAACTGTATATCTTAGTATTATATCTTTGTTAGAAAATAGCCCACTTTATCGTATGGTTTTTTGTTATGTCCAACTTTATGTCTATCAGCTGTACGATCTAAAAAATAAAAAAGACCAATAATAATACAGATGATTGATGAATGTTGTCATGTTTATAAAATACATTGTTTTGTTACATGTTAATTTATATTTCATTTGGATTGCTTAGCCATGAATACTTATTTTATATATATATATATCAATATTTTTTTTCAATAACTTCCCTGACTTTCTAAAAAAAATCTTTCTGAAATGTTAAAATCATGTTATTTTCATTTATACATTTTCTAACTTACATTAAATTTGTGTCTTATATGTCTAGCTTCTTGCGTTTCTCCATTAATAGAAAGAGTGGTGGGAAAACTTATCATGCCGGCGAATTCTATGATAGTGAAGCTGATGTTTCCTGGTGGTGTATATCCATTGTGAATCACCGATATGTCTAACTGCTCGCCCTAGAAAGAAAAAGGGACAGGAAGAAAGATGATAAAGCATTATACACGTGACTTTATAATATTCACATTAACTTCATGCATATATAATACAAACCCTTGTTAATACAAACTTCAGTTCCAAATACTTTCCAGAAGAATATGAATCTGTGAAAATATAATAATAATATCGGTTATATATACAATTTCTTTTCTTGTATATGTTAAATGACAAACAGTTACATACAGCTATTTTAACAAAACAAGGTAACTTAATAATACCTAGGCTTTCTCCATCGTCCATATATAGAGTACCATTGGCACTATTACTTTCATCCAGGGCACACCAAAGACCCATTGGATTCAGACGGCTAGGAAATAACAGGAAAGTGATAATCATGTGGAATGACCTTTCTCTTGGTTGATTTACTCTCCATTTTACATTTAATGGAGAATTTCTCTTTTTAAGCTTTAATTCAAAGGATGCACACCATTAAAGGATAATTTTTTTAAAATCTTTCCTGATATTTATAGCTTTTTCATTATTATGCATAATAAATGCACTAAAATCAGTAATATCTATGGGAAATTCCTTGTGACATAATTTTTTTGTCTACCTGTACTGTGTTGAGTTCCCCACGTTCTGGACAGGGATGATAGATCCGCCCCGGGCGTGGAATGGTAGGAGAGACAATGGAGTGGGAAGGGAGGCAAACTTTCCACTTTGTGAACTGATCTCACTTCCCTTATCAATATTAAAACACTTTCAATTTTTTTTTCAATAGACCATATTTCTTTTAAGTTGAAGTTACTTCTATGCCTATGTATTAATTCTGAAGACGCAATGATGGCTAAATCACTATTATGTACATTTAATTTTTTTTTTTTTTTTTTTTTTTGAACTCTTTTTAATATTGATGATTTCAACACAAGTATAGCCAAATCATAAACCAGAAGTCTCTGATGAGACTGTAGCTCTACTGGTCTGTACATATACATGTAACAAAGAAAAAGTAGCACTTGGATTCGAAACTTTGCAACATGCAGCAATAAATAGAATTATATATCTTCATATAGTCTACTTGTGTGCCAAGTTAAATTGAAATCAAATAAAAACTGAAGGAGGAGTAGCGTTTTAAAAGAAATTCACAGAAATTTCTATTTTTAGTAACCAAGGCAACATCGTTCATCAAAATAAAAAAACTGATGCTCTGAATTATGTATCATAGTGTAGTCTACTTGTGTGCCAAGTTATATTGAAACCAGACCAAAACTGTAGGAGGAATTTCATTTTGAAGGAATTTCACAGAAATTTCTATTTTTAGTAACCATGGCAACATCGTTCATAGAAGTCAAAAACCGATGCACTAAATTATGTATCTTAGTGTAGTCTACTTGTGTGCCAAGTAATATTGAAACCAGACCAAAACTGTAGGAAGAGTAGCATTTTAAAGGAATTTCACAGAAATTTCTATTTTTAGTAACCATGGCAACACCGCTCATCCAAATCAAAAACCGATGCACTAATTTATGAATCTTAATAGAGTCTACTTGTATGCCAAATCACACTGAAATCAGACCAAAACTGTAGTAGGAGTAGCGTTTAAAAGGAATTTCACAGAAATTTCTATTTTTAGTAACCATGGCAACACCGCTCATCCAAATCAAAAACCGATGCACTAGATTATGTATCTTAGTGTAGTCTACTTGTGTGCCAAGTTATATTGAAATCAGACCAAAACTGTATGAGGAGTAGGGTTTTAAAGGAATTTCACAGAAATTTCTATTTTTAGTAACCATGGCAACACCGCTCATCCAAATCAAAAACCGATGCACTAGATTATGTATCTTAGTGTAGTCTACTTGTTTGCCAAGTTATATTGAAATCAGACCAAAACTGTATGAGGAGTAGGGTTTTAAAGGAATTTCAAAGAAATTTCTATTTTTAGTAACCATGGCAACACCGCTCATCCAAATCAAAAACCGATGCACTAAATTATGTATCTTAGTGTAGTCTACTTGTGTGCCAAGTTATATTGAAATCAGACCAAAACTGTATGAGGAGTAGCGTTTTAAAGGAATTTCACAGAAATTTCTATTTTTAGTAACCATGGCAACACCGCTCATCCAAATCAAAAACCGATGCACTAGATTATGTATCTTAGTGTAGTCTACTCGAGTGCCAAGTTATATTGAAACCAAACCAAAACTGTAGGAGGAGTAGCATTTTAAAGGAATTTCACAGAAATTTCTATTTTTAGTAACCATGGCAACACCGCTCATCCAAATCAGAAACCGATGCACTAGATTCTGTATCTTAGTGTAGTCTACTTGTGTGCCAAGTTATACTGAAATCAGACCAAAACTGTATGAGGAGTAGCGTTTTAAAGGAATTTCACAGAAATTTCTATTTTTAGTAACCATGGCAACACCGCTCATCCAAATCAAAAACCGATGCACTAAATTATGTATCTTAGTGTAGTCTACCTGTGTGCCAAGTTATATTGAAATCAGACCAAAACTGTAGGATGAGTAGCATTTTGAAAAATTGTTTACAGACAGACGGACAGACAGACAGACAGACAGACAGACAGACAGACAGACAGACGGACGGACGCCGGACACCTTACTATCGCATAAGCTCTTCTGGTCTCTGACCAGTAGAGCTAAAAATAAACTCTAGGCCAAAATAAAAAATACCTTTGTTTCCCCTAACGCGACCGACCCAATTAAATCGCGCCGAGTGAAAAGATTTTTTTTGATAAGATTATTCAATTTTTTTTTAATGTTTATCAACTTTTATAAAATACAATTTCATCAAAATCCCGTTCTTATCAGAACGGCTGATTTTGTTTCACTGTAACGGTTTGTTGGAAACAAACTGGCGCCCACAACAGGTGGTCACAGGGGTTAGTTCGTGTTATAAAACAACGGCGACGTATCAACTTAAAGACTTTAGATTATTAGAATTCTACAGTCTTGAAAGAATTCGTTAAAAAGTATACCATGACTAATTAAGAGTGTTTCGGTGGTAATTAAGGTACGTAGTAAGCATGGTAAGGCTCGACTCATGAGCAGATGAGGGGCCCACCTTGTGAACACATCAATCAATTTCACTGCATTTTATCTAATTTGAGTTTTGATCTAATAAACAGTTCCATGTTTACTATATAAAACCAAAGAGTTGTTGTAAATATGTCTGTCTATTTCATTCTGATGAATATAATTCAGAAGTCCTTTCTTCGTGCCTTTTATTCATGGGTTAAACTTCGTGACTTTGATATTGTGTATGATGTTTTTAGATATGGTTTGGTTCAATTAAATATTGTTAACATACTCTTTCCAAATAGTTTTGAAATCATGATACAGCTTCCAGAGGCGTCCGGTGTATTTTTCTTTGATTAGGCCCTTGAAGATTGGTTGTTTCTTTGCCCTAAATCCCTTTAAGAATTGTTGAGACGACAACATTTGAACATTTGCCCGGTGAAGGGCTCCAAATTTAGACTTGTACTCGGCACTTTTGGCCACAGAGAGGTGAGGGATCTTTTTCGTGCCAGCAGCTACTGCGACACTGGACCTCTAAGTTTTTCGAAGGACCGGTCTCAACGTCCCACACTGGGATTTGAACCTGCGACTTAGATTTAGCTCCTTACTTCAGGACTCTAAAGCGAAATGTTCTGGAACCACTGCAAATTTCGAGGCCCTTAAAAAAGTACATTGCATTTGTAACCACTAGAACCTGATAGTAGGTTTAGAATGCCCGGTCTTCGCGTATCTGAGAATCATTTCTTTTTAAGTATTCGATGTCAATAAATTTATACTAGCGGGAGATATTCACAAGTTCAACTGAATAATAGTTGTGAATTAATTTACCTTAGATTTTGCTTTTAAACGGCATTTGTATGATATTCTGTTTACAAATCGCTTTCTTTTGTATTTTTTCTATTTATAAAGGTATTATTCCAATAAATTTCAGGATGTATTTTCAAAGCTGCTGTCAGAAAAAAAAAATATTTGCCTACCTACCTACCCAACTTCAGATTTTAGGGTCGGGTTAGGGGAAACAAAGATATTTTTAATGATGGCCCTAACTTTCGTGTATAATCATCTTAAATTACTCTTTAAGCTTTCAAAATGACTTAGTGGTTAGCCCATTTTGTCATAATCAAACCTCATAATAGTCATGCCATCTTCCCTTCGGAAAGTAAGCTTGAACACTTCTTTGACCCTGAAAATAGCAGATTATTTTGTAATTTGTAAAAACTGAAATACATCTATGAAAATGTAATGTTACTAGTAACAACTTTTTCCCCTGTGTTCATAAATTTGTTTTATCAATAAATTCATCCATTAAGAGTTTATTATTCATTTTGTACTTTTTTCAAATTTTCTTGATGATAAGGATTTTTAAAAAATATGCTAAATAGTCAAGTCAAAAACAATGAAATTAAAGAAGGAGTTGCAGTTAAATTGCAATACACGGTATTTACACCATACAACATAAACTGTCTGCCATACTTACAGCATCTAATGCTGGAGAGATTAGCAAGGAGGGGCCAAACATGAACTGTCTGTCTATTGACCAGGTATTCTCATCCTCTGGAAATCTACCACAGAAAAACAGATTTCATCATTATATAAGGTATTTCATGATCTGTTTGATGATGAAAATGAAGTAAATCATATGTTTCAAAACGATTGAAAAACTTTAAAAACCTTACTTCAAATTATAATTCTTCTTTGAAGTCAGAGATTTAACGTCAGTCTTTTCTGCAAGTTTGCAACTAAATATTTATTGAACTTACTCAAACATCAAAGAACGTAGCACCATTTTGCCCTCCGTATGAGCCTCTTTAAACAGTGTGTACATATAGGGTAGGAACTTATATCGGATCATAATGTAGTGACGTACAATGTCCGTAAACGTGGAATTCCAGGCCGTGGGGTCCTGATCCTAACGTACAGAATTATATCTTTTTGTAATCTTTTTTTATTTTAAAAAATTTACCTTACTTTAATCAGAGAATTTTATTTCATCACTATTGATAGGAAACAACTTTATACTTTTTATACAGAAAAGTATATATTGACTTATAGAACAGTACAAGCATGATCGGTTTATGTAAGTGTCTTACTGATTATAAAATTCAAATCCGATCCTAAGATACGCTCAAGTAGGTGCTACACGAACTTCAGCGATCTAACTGAGCGTATGAAGGACCTGATTTTTTATAAGATTCTTAGTTACAATGAATTACCCTGGCAAAATCCACACCATCATTTTTGTATATGTTATGACTTCTAGCAAAAGGGTAGAATGTGCCCAGCTGGTACCATCTCAAGCACATTTCATACTCAGCCTGCGCCCAAAACCCACAGATATCAGCTCCGATCTTAAAAATAATAAAATCCTCTAACAATTGAGAAATTTCATTTGGATAAAAATCACGGCATATCAAAATATATAGAAAGTAATGATTTTGAGTCCCTTACCAGGGGAAATCCAAACAACTGGAATTCCAACATACCTGTTATAATAAAAATCAAAAACTTTGATAATGATAAAATTTCTCAATTTAATTAAAATAAAATTCATTTATTCAATACTGACTAATGAACACTTAACTCTGGCTTTCTTTTCATTTACGCCGTGTTAAATCAAATACTATTTTCAATCATACGATAATAAATAAGAAAAATACTATAGAATATGCATCTATCATAAGATATTACTAACAGTATTATCTTTTTAATAATGAAAAAAAGGTTACATAATGCACTAGTACAGAATGCTTTTTGTCAGTTTAAAATAGAAATGCCTATTTAACCGCTTGCTTTTGCCAAAATATTGCAATTAAAAATTGTACTTTACTCTGCATTTCATAAACACTTCTTGTCCCCTTCCCCACTCTTTGTCAAGATTCCCAACCCCTCACCAATAATAGACCAGTGAAGTTGCCGCCACTGACTTCCATTATCCCCCAACCACTTGAAGGCATACTTGGACGTCCCAGCAAAGGAGGAACGGGTCATCACAAACGGTCTCTTATTAGGCTCAATGTTCAGCAAAGCTCTGATAATGAAATAGATGAAGATATCAAACAATTATCAATCTCAAAAAACCTACAAACAGTACAGATCTGTGAACAGGGCATAAAACGTGGATCTCTGGAAATTTCAGAAGTGAGATCAGGTGCCTAGGATGAGTAAGCATTCCCTGTCGACTGGTCACACCCATCGTGAGCCTTATGATCTGGTAGACGGGGTAATCTATGTTGATCTAATAGTAGATAAGTGGCTTCTGAATAGTGATAAATTTCTACATATGTAAACTATTTACACCGGCATGTATAGTCACTAGCATTAAAGTACATGACGTCTTAACACTTTATTCAACCATTTCTCACGACAAATTAAACCCTAGGCTTTTTGACAACTGCTTCTTTAATAAAAATTAACGTTTTCATATTGTTGTCAACTGCAATGTTACTTTTTTTTTAATTCTGATTTTAAACACAATTACTCTGAAGATGATATTTAAAAAGATGCTGGAGTTCCTCATTGTCTTTGTGGTCTTCCCTTGTAATTGTGCCCCTTTGTTAACAGACCTGTTTTATATTCTTATGAAGCAACTTTTATTCAAAAACATATACATGAAAAGAAAAAAACTCTTGTTGTAGCCTCTCTTTTTGAAAAGAAAAATAAATATTGGATTAGCCTTCAACACGACATTTAAATATATCAAGGACGTATTTTCATTCATACATTGATTATATATATCCCACTTAACTAGAAATAAAAGACATCACAGAGTCTGACACGTCTGTTTCATATTATTATTAACATATTTTACTCGGGAAAGACGTTAATGGCAAACTAACAACTTAACTTTTCTATAAATATGATGACTTCAACTTTTCTATGATCAACTTTCTTTTTTTATGTAGCAATAAACCATTATTATCTGCATATGATAGCTGATTCTTTGTATTTTTGCACATATGCATATATTGTATTGTCAAATCTTACAAATGCATCATAAAACTATACATGTATTTTGTTTCAATTTAATTATTATTGAAATGATTTGTACATGTGTACGCCTCAATCATCATTTGTTACTTTTTGCTATTTTGATGTATTTGATGTAATAAGAAGACTCTGAGAGAAAGGTGTGGCGCAATGATCAGAATACCTTCTTTAAATAAAGTATCATAATTATTATTAGTTGTAGTAATATTTGTACTACATATATATGTAATGATATTAAGAGCATGTTCTTCGTACAATCAATTTCTAAAAAGATTAATCTTCTGACCAAAAAGAGTGGCCTTGTTCACACATACAACCTGTTGTTAGCTTGAATGTTGACGTTTGTAGTACAAATTGTTAATAACACATACAACCTGTCGTTAGGTCGAATGTTGACATTTGTAGTACAAATTGTTAATAACACATACAACCTGTTGTTAGGTCGAATGTTGACGTTTGTAGTACAAATTGTTAATAACACATACAACCTGTCGTTAGGTCGAATGTTGACGTTTGTTGTACAAATTGTTAATAACACATACAACCTGTCGTTAGGTCGAATGTTGACATTTGTAGTACAAATTGTTAATAACACATACAACCTGTTGTTAGGTCGAATGTTGACGTTTGTAGTACAAATTGTTAATAACACATACAACCTGTCGTTAGGTCGAATGTTGACGTTTGTAGTACAAATTGTTAATAACACATACAACCTGTCGTTAGGTCGAATGTTGACATTTGTAGTACAAATTGTTAATAACACATACAACCTGTCGTTAGGTCGAATGTTGACATTTGTAGTACGAATTGTTAATAACACATACAACCTGTTGTTAGGTCGAATGTTGACGTATGTAGTACGAATTGTTAATAACACATACAACCTGTTGTTAGGTCGAATGTTGATGTTTGTAGAACAAATTGTTAATAACACATACAACCTGTTGTTAGGTCGAATGTTGACGTTTGTAGTACAAATTGTTAATAACACATACAACCTGTCGTTAGGTCGAATGTTGACATTTGTAGTACAAATTGTTAATAACACATACAACCTGTCGTTAGGTCGAATGTTGACGTTTGTAGTACAAATTGTTAATAACACATACAGCCTGTCGTTAGGTCGAATGTTGATGTTCGTAGTACAAATTGTTAATAACACATACAACCTGTCGTTAGGTCGAATGTTGACGTTTGTAGTACAAATTGTTAATAACACATACACCCTGTCGTTAGGTCGAATGTTGACGTTTGTAGTACAAATTGTTAATAACACATACAACCTGTTGTTAGGTCGAATGTTGACGTTTGTTGTACAAATTGTTAATAACACATACAACCTGTCGTTAGGTCGAATGTTGACGTTTGTAGTACAAATTGTTAATAACACATACAACCTGTTGTTAGGTCGAATGTTGACGTTTGTTGTACAAATTGTTAGGCCATTTTTTTTTACTACGGATTATTCTTTTACTCGATCAAGACAAAGGGATAACGGCTGGTGTGACCGGTAGATAGTGTATGTTTTCTCCTCCATGGCACCTGATGTTTCGGGGTTCGTGTTGCCTTGCCCTCAATTTTAACTGTTTTCTTAACATTTCCTATTACAGTCTCAATTGTTAATCTGTTTGAATTAGATTCAGCTTGTTGAAAAACAAACATTAAAATACGAGGGTTGTCCCAAAATTCCGTAGTATGAGTCCATACTTTTTACAAAACTGAACGTATCTTTGTAAAGTTTTCTTGGTTGATGAAGTATGTTATTGGTTTTTAAATTACGAATTTTTAACATGATTGTTTGAAAACAATTTGAGAAATTACAATTTCAGTATTTCCATTCCTTAACACCCGGAGCAATCTCCGACGTCAAAAAAGATACACTTAACGTCACACATTTTGACTGGGGTGGATATACTTATTACAAGAATCAAATTCTTTACTTCAACATACAGATTATAGAAATAAATGAAAAATATCTTAATTGCTATGATATAATTCAACATAAGAAAATACAAACAAAGTATGTACATGCATATGTATCCAATAATAATGATTTTAAAAACCCCATGTCTCTAAGGGTTTTCCCCTCCTTCTTCGCAAATGGAGTTGCAAAAATGTCACTTTAACAACGATTTCTTGCCCCTCTCTTCGGCTTGTTTCTTATTTAGTTTCGCTTTTTCACATACTTAGACAATTTTGATATAATAAGGACTGGAATACATTTCCATGCGTACCAGACATTTATAACTTCTGCGTTTCTGTAGGAGTTAGAACATTTAATCACAGTCTAGTGCGTCGCCGTTTTCATCGCAACCGCCATTTTTCGACAAGTCAGATTTCAAACCGGTGCATTTAAAACGTTATAAAATTCATATTAATCAAGTCATATGCCACAAAATTGGAGGAGAGGTAGTTATCAATGCAATATCAATAATTTTTATATCTATTTTCAAAAATTCTTTGTATTAAATACCTTTTCGTAAAATTTTAAATATATCATATATCGATTTTTAATTGCAATTTATGGATACTGCGCCGCCTTCTTACACCAGATACTGAAATATTGTATCTAAATAGGGTTCAAAAGTGTAATTGCTCAATATTTGTCCATAAATGTATAGGTTATTATTAGTTTTATGTATGTGCAAAGTTTCATTAATGTATGACATGGGGTTCCTACAAAACCACGCCTGTCTACGGAATTTTGGGACAACCCTCGTATATGAACGATTTTTGACAAACTGCATGATACGCAAGATATCATTAGATGTAAACATTTAAATAACATTTAAAATTCGAAATTGCGATTTTTTTTTTCTAAAAATAAGAAATGATGTGTTCCAAAACTCCAATCAATACATGCAATAAAATTACATATGCTTACTGCATGCTGACTTACTTGTAAGTAACAATACTTTTGCTGTGTCCATACAAACTGTGTACATCGTAGTGTTTTCCCCAGGACTGTTGTCCGTCCATACACAGCGTCTTGTAATATAAACTACCATTATCTCTGTCTCCTTCAAAAATCTCTGGGGAGAAATTTTAAAATCATTGATCCTTTTTTGTTGAATTTACTATAAATTATTATTACAATTTTTATTAAAATTACAATTTCTTAGGATCTAAATGTGCAACTTTCACAAAACGTTTAGAACTGAACACCAGTTGTTAAGATACTGTGTAATTTCTTTTCAAATTCTTTGCATTTTCGTTTATATGATATTCAGAAATTTTTGTTTAAGGGGATATTTATTGAAGTAAGTATTTGAAGGGTTAGGAGCAGTTTGAGATGGAGGGTGGAAATGAAAGTAAAATAAAGTAAAATATCAGACTGATACTATTGTTCACTTATATTGGACTGTCAAAGGTATATTTTTATATAGCAAGAATTAACAGACCTCAAACTGTTTAAGATTATTTCGTATAGAATTGGATTCAGCGTATATCCAGCACTAAGTACATAGGGGATAGAGAATTTAAACTTTATGATAAGTACCTTTTAAAATATAATCAAAGGAAGATTTTAATTAATTTTCTGTGATAACCTGGAACTATTGCATTTTTCATTAAAAAAAATCAAGATATTAATCAAGTTTTGGCATATTTTATACTATATGGAAGACTACTCTCTTTCTTTAGTAATAAGTCTTGCTCTAGTTTACTTACATATATTTGAAAATTTGATTACTTGGCAAATATATTCAATAAATACAAAAAAAAAATCTTTGACTTCTTGAGAAAAGCTTAGTGATGATGACTAATAATAATATAACATTAAATTCTAGAATTTTGCTAATGAAATATAGCTTTAATGTGATCACCTACGAGGAACAAATGGTGGATGGTTCCATTGATTTACCGGACACCCAGACTTTGATCCCTGGACAAAATTGGCTGGCTCATCCATGTCCTAGGACACATTAGATTCAATCAAATTAAAGCACGGTTTTCTTTATGTTCATTGTCCCTCTGATCTCATATAAAATTTTGTTTTAATGCTTATGTTTTTTCAAAAGAAAACTAATTTATAATTCAAGTGCACACAAAAGCAGAGCACCTTGCGATTCAAAATTTGACAAAATTGTCTTTTCAATTTAACAATAAAATAATAATTGCAAGAGTTATCTTTCTTATTAGAGAGCCAATGAACCTTAATTTAATTTACCAAAGAAAACGGTTGCAGACACAGAAGTGTTGATAACTTACAATCCACAGGCCGTCTACGTCAATTGATTCATTGTAAATGAAATATTTTATCCATTTTTCCCAGAATATGGTTGTTTTATTGACATTTGTAAAGTCTGGAAAGACGGAGTCTCCCGGCCACACCTATAATGACATTTAGTTAACGTATTTTGTAAATGATACTCAAACAAATTAGTACAATGAAAATGAACTGATTTTTTTTCTTATTTCGGCTTATTTATCCAACAGTAATATTGTCATTAATTTCATTGATACGTTTTATAGTGTTATACAAATATGTTCTAAAGAAAATCTTTCTACTAGTATATCATTGCACCATCCACAATTATATAAATCTGTATTTTGATATGATCGACTTCAGGATTTTCTGCGTTATTTGATGATTTGAAATTATACATTCAGCTTGTAGAAGCTAAATAATTCTATCCCATTATTTTTGTACCTCGCCCACAAGCACCTGTCCGCTGGAATTTTTCACAAAAATATCTTTCTCCACCCCATCCTCATACATTCTGTAACCAACGCTGTTATTTTTTGCTTCTGCATAAAGCTGTGGGTCAGAACCGATGCCAGAATCCTGGAATTCATAATTCCTCTAAAGTTAAACTATATAATGAAAGGAAGTCAGCCTACAACCCACGTCTGCTTTTAAAACTTATTCAGTTCATCCTAATTAAATAATAATCAAGAGATACGTTTTGGTACTGATCATGATGTCAGAGCTTTTTATTGTTCTGGTAGATAATATCTGCATTTTTTATCTCTTTTGACACCGGTTAAAGTGTGAAAATTAAATTTTTTTTTAAATTGAGTATATTTATTTGTTGTTTCTTGATGTTTCCATTATAGTGACGTTCTTACCACTATGACGACAAACTTTTTTCCTTCGTCATGAACCTCCTTTACAAATTCAGGCAGTCCATGAAATGTTTTCTTGTCATAAGTAAAATCAAACTTTTTGTACATGTAGTCAATGTCGCCCCATTGTGCGTCCTACAACAAACAAAAACAATCGATTAGTAGTATTTTTTTTAAATGCATGTCTCAGATACGTGTCTGATGAAGAGAAGTTAAAATTGCTAAGTTCTAAAATCTGTAACAAATTTAAAATGGTTTAATCATTAAAGTCAAACAAAGTAATTTACCTTTGTTATGTTTTTATGGAACATTTGTCAAATTATTGATTTAAGAAGTTGTGTTTAAGGAAAACAAGAGGCTCATGGACCACAACGCTCACCTGATAGCTTGGGCCCTGCTGTTCTTCACCAGAGTTTCCCCCTTGTAAAACATATTGTGGCCACAACCTACCCCGGGGGGTCGTACTTTGAACAATTTAGAATCTACACTACCTCAGGAGGCCTCCACATAAGTTTAAGCTTTCCTGGCCAAGTGGTTCTTAAGAAAAAGTTTCTAAAGATTTGTCCTATATATTTCAATGTTAAACTTTGATTCCCTATTGTGGCCCAACCCTATCCACTGGGGTCATGATTTGAACAATTTAAAATGTACACTACCTCAGGAAACTTTCACATAAGTTTTAATTTTTCTGACCGAGCGGTTCTTGAGCAAAATATTTTTTAATGACCCCACCCTATTTTTGTCTTTTCTTGATTATCTCCCTTGTAAGAAGGCTTGGTCCTTCATTTTAATAATTTCAACTCCCCTTTATCCAAGAATGCTTTGTGCCAACTTTGGTTAAAATTGGCCCAGTGGTTCTTGAGAAGAGGTTGAAATTGTGAAAAGTGTACAAACGGACGACGGACATCGGGTGATCAGAAAAACTCACTTGAGCTTTCAGTTCAGGTGAGCTGAAAATGATATCATTCCAAAAAATTGTTTGATTCATTAATATTCATATATACTCACAAACGGAATATCAGCATCAACGTTCCTTTGATGGATAAATTTCATACGAGTCAAATTTTCATATCCCCATCTTAAAATATGGAACCCTAAAGTCCAGTATGGGGGCATGGCAGGTCTACCTATAGCCTGTAAATAATCAAAATTCAAACCGTAAACCCCTAACGTCCAGTACGGGGTTTTGGCAGGTCTACCTATACCCTGTAATAATCAAAACTCAAACTGTATAACCCTAACATCCAGAACGGGGGCATGGCAGGTCTAATAAATATTTAATGATAAGATCTTCATTTGCTTCATCTTAATTGCACTAAAAATGCAATTATTCATCAACTATATTAAGTTATGCATGTTCTGTTCAAGTTATAGTCAGAACTCTTTTCAGTTCTTGTTTCTTAAAATTTTAGTGTTTATACATTAAGTCTTGCCAATGGTGAGGAAATATATTGTTTTGGTATGGTTGTCAATCTATCTTTTGTCGGTCTGTCTGGCTGTTTGTATATCACAAAATCGTGCATAAGATATTGATTGGAATGAGTTCAAACTTCAGTATAAATATTGTTATCCTTGATCAAAGGTTTAAATGCCAAGATTTTAATTCTGTGTTATAACTCAATATCAAGGTCACTGGACAATTAAACACTGAAATTGGGACCAGACTATAATTTTGGTTGATTTCAAAACTTTAGAAACTTTAGAATGGTGTCGATGAAGAGAAAGCCTCAAGGTCAAATCTTAAAATTATGAAGTCTTAAGAGTATGATTTGGGAAACATCTGTTTTTGTCAACAACAACAAAAAAAAAAACATGGAAATGATCACAGACTAGATTTTGTCTACATACATGTAGGTATTGTTGTAGAGCGTGATTTGGGTTCTCTCCTAGAAACACATAGAAATCCAGGAGTCCCCCTATTGTTCTATAAGTTATGGCTGGGTAAGGGGCGGGCTGCAACGTCACCTCTGAATAAGAAATGAGAAATTATTTTGTGAAAACACTTTAAATGATCACAAAGAACTTTGTATTTTTGTACATTTCAGAAATTTACTGTTTGTTTGGATTATGAGCATAGCGAAGGGTTCATACCGTAAATATTAACCTACGATAGCAATTTCTTATTGCCCTTCTATCATGAGAAGCCTCGTTAATAAAAAAAAAATAAATAAATAAACGCTTTTATGAAACACAATTACACAATTTGATTTGACGTCCACGAGTCATTTCGTAATAGCAGTACTAACTATAAAATAAGGAATCTATAGTAAGCGCACTCATTTTATCTCGTATACAGACTTTAATCATGATATAATCTACGTAAACTTATATCATCTGTCTTCAGTAAAAGAATTAGAATGCACGACCAATACTGGTCCAAGCTGACAAAGCAGGTAAAACCTTTGTTTGTAACGTTTATTAATGCAACTGCATTTTAGAGGAACTTGGATTTAATTCTACAAGTCATTATCCAACTTATAGCTCCCTTCCTACGGAGAAAATTTTTCAAAATCGTATGCCGATTTTAAATATTTCCAACAACCAAATTGAATTTGAGTTACCACACCTTTACTGGATTCCGCTTCATAAAAAATTCTTGCAAACAAAGATACGTAGTGGGTTCCAGTAAATGTTCTATCAAACCTCTTTCTTAATTATTAATAATAGTGACGGAGACACTTCAGGAGTACTGTGCAACAATATATTCGAGAAGTGGAGTAAATCAGATGTGGAAACTTTAAAACTCCAAGGAACTTTTAGAAAAATTGAAATCACAAAATTCTACCAAAATCAATATCAAATACGACTTTTCAACACTTTATACAAACATTCTCTGAAATAAATTAAAGATCAGACTCTTTGACATCAAAGACAACTACTTCTTCCAATAAAAATGGAACTCGTAAATTTGCATACACATACAGACATATTTGTTAAAAATTTCTGATTCTATCATTCTACATACAAGTGTTCCATAGTTGATATTAAAGGATGCCTGAGTTTCTCATTGATAATAACTATGTGGTTTTTGACACCAGGTCTTCCAATAATCTGTTGGAATCTCCATGAGTCTTAATTGTACTGAATATTAGCAGATCTGTTTTTATATTCATATGAAGCAAAATTTATTCAAAAACTTTTACATAAAAAGAAATCTCTTGCTGTGGCCTTCAACCCAGCAGTTATATCTATCGACGAGTATTATCAATTTACAATGGTAACTTCCATTCATATGTTGAATAATTATATCAAAGTGAACTTGAAATAAAAGATACCACATATTTGGATATTTTACTAGAAAAGTACGTTAATGGTAACCTAAAAAAAACTTTCTGATAAACGTGATGACTTAAGCTTTTCTTTCGTCAGTTCCTTACTTATGTAGCAATATACCTTTATCACCTGCATATGGGGTTTATGTCTTCTATTTGATTCCATACACAAGAGAATGCTCTACGTACAAACAATTTCTAAAACGGACAAGCTATTGACAAATAAGTTGATGCAAGAAGAATACCAACAGTTTCGTTAAAAGTCAACATTTCACAAATTCCATGGTCAACACAACGACCTTGTCAGCAAATACAATCTAATCACCAAGTTGAATGTTGACTGATTTTTTTTTTCAAAAAAATTCTTAGGCCATTATTGTCACACTGAATTGTCTTCGGATTTTCCGTTTAACCGATCACAATAAAGAGCACACGGCTTATGTGACCGGTCAGCAGGTGATGCTTACTCCTCCATGACACCTGATCCATGCGCCTCTTTATTCAGAGGTCCATGTTGGCTCTGTTCATAAGTTGAAATATTTTTAAAGGAATTTTGAGGATGATTCCTCTTCGTTACCTTCATAATTCATGGCTTATCTTCACAATTTTTCCATCCACAAAGATTGTTATCCTATGATAGTAATCATTTTTTTTCAGCAATTAGATTTAATTGAAAGAAATAATAATAAAGTTGATACTATCCATTTGAAAGTCCATTTTTAACTTTCTTAATACTTACCCATAGCGTTACTATTTTTCAGAAAAACCATGTTTGCTTTGCCCTTGTCCTCTAAGTTCATATAAACAGGGTGAGCCCCGTACAGATTCCATTCCTGAAATAACAATTGGCATCTTTCAGTAAATTCCAAATATCTTCAGGTACAATGAGGATAGTACTTTTGACGAATTTATAGGTTAAAAGAAATCTGACATTTTAAAAATTCTTCTTTGCCAAAATTCCTATGATTTCGAACACTTATTCAATCTTGTGCAACTGCTGTGGATTCATCATTGTTCTTGGGGGATCAGTGATCGTGGATTTCGTGGGTCACCTTCTTTATCCACGAATTTAAATCCCCAAACAATTATTTTGTTAACATATTAATTCATTGAATCTTCTGTTCATACGAATTAGCCTTGAAATTACGTCCCCCCAAAATCAATAAAATTTTTCTTGCCGACGAACATTGACCCCCTCCCCTGGAATTAGAATGATTCCACAGTGTTCCTTTTTCAGATTATAAAAGGATACAAATTTCGAAACAAACACAGTTGAAATTCGGTATCTCGAACATCAATATCTCGAATACCATGGACATCTCGAAATGAGTTGGAAATTCAAAAAACTCTATCTTTTTCAACCTCAATATCTCAAATCCTTGAATAACTAGGATTCAATCGAGTTCGAGATAACAAAGTTTCACCGTATTAGCATATGGGCTTCTATAACAAACACAAGAAGAGGACATACATCGACTGGAGCCATGTCCCTGGTAAAGATGGTCCATGTCTTCCAGTTCATATCATGACGGTATCGTCTGTGGTTATGCTCACCAAATCCGTACAAATTGTCTGTAGGTAAGCGTGTACTTATTTGCAGGAACTGGTCAGAGAATGTCAACCCGGGTAAACTACTGTCAAAACTACAGGTACAAAACAGGAAATGTGGATATCTGTCTAAGCATCGGTACAAAGGGAAAAACCCTAAACTTGCTGGAAATTTCTTTTTTTATTGACTTACACAACAGAATTGGTACTTTTTCTGGTGACTTTGATACCAAATGTAGGTTTTCTGACAATTTCTACCGTATACGTTTTATTAGTAGGTGGAGAAGGTCTGTTCATTTTCAGTGCCTCGTCTGGAATTTCAAATGGTTGTGAATCGGTGGGACGAAACTTGAAAGAAGAAAAAAAATATTTGTTACCGTCTCAGAATCAAAGAATTTATTCCAAAAAAAAAAAAAACGAAATTAAAAAAGAAGGATGAAAAAACTTCTTATATCTCTACGTTTCTAATTGTATCATACATATATCCTGAGAGCATTATCGCCATACTCGTCCACTGTGACGTCAATTTGTTGATGTACCGCCATACCATACACTGTTCCGGGTCCAGTCCTGTTTATTTTTACATTCATGGTGTTCCCGTTCCCAGATATCGACTGGAACTCGTAACCAATAGTGTCTGGGAAAACACATTTTGGGGCCTTACTGTTTGAAGCCTCTCTCCATGCGCATCTGTAAAGCAGACGTTATATGAGATAGAAAAATGGCCGTAGCTTTCTAGAGTCCTCTGAGACAAGCTCTACCAAAAGGACTTATCAGTTAACTTTTATTCGTGGTTGATAATTCCCACTTAAGGCTGAATGGTGTTCCATGACTGTTACCATAGGATTGGTTGAATATTGTCTTTTATTTTCCGAAACAAGTAACCTTTGTTGAATACTTTTGGAAAACTGTAGACACAATTTGCAAGGGATTAATTAGTAAACATCTCTTTTAAAGATCTGACATTTTTTATTAAAACCTTACAAATATTGCATAATTCCCTGCATGTTTTATGTGTTTATGATAAAGACTGCGCAATATCTGTGTCACAACCCTTTCAATAAATCCCATATCATCACGTTTTCTTGCATATAAACTACTTTATTACTCTTTCATTGCAGATGATAATTCAAGCCATGGTTTAAGAATAACTTTGCCAGGTTATTTAAAAATTGCACTGCGTAGAAAGAGTCTAAACAGGTGCCCGTTATAAAATCAGGAGAACGTCTGCTTATATTTATTTATACTCACTGCCTCTGCTCGCAGGCCTTTTTTGTAACGATTTTATCCTTCTCTTTGAGATTCTTAGGGTAGCAATCCACCACTGCACCACGGCGAGAATCCGGGAGAGGCGTGGATCGGGGGGTGGTAGACGGGGCGGATCCTTTTTCTGCATCTGACGCAGGCGTCACTACAGATGGCATGTCGTCGTCTTCGTTAAGCATGCGATGTAAAGCGATGGCCGACATCGTAATGGCAGCAGCAGCCATCAAAAATAAGACACACATGAAAAAAGTATGTCTCCCCGAATTGCTTTTTGTTGCCATTTTGTTTACGGTTCAGTTGTTGAGATATTGCACAAAATAATACGCTTGCATACCGGATAACGTCGTAGTCATAAATTTTTATCCATTCTGCACTTCTCTGGTAGTTGCGTGTTTTGTTGACGTTTTTTTTTTTTAGATAACTGCGAATAAAATTATTGGTGTATTTGCACAGCAACGGGTAGCTTAGTTAACCTACTCGGTACGATCTGTGATCAGAACAATCGAGGAATTTTCTGTTTGTTCAGCTTATTTCGAAGAACACACGCACTGACTGAATATTGGGTAAGGAGGTCACACTTCTCCTTACAGTGGAAAATAAATGAGTATTTTTTTCCAAATAATTAGTCTTAAACAGCAATATATAAAAAAAGCCCTAAAAATCATACAAGTATACACCCAAACTGATAGCTTAGAACCACCACTGATTTGAATGAAAATTAAGGACAGATGATACCAAAAAATGGATGCCTGGATTGGCATATATTTTATTTTTGGTTGTAAATGATTAGAATAAATTTCTAAAATATTAAGAAATTATAAACTTTCTACGATGTTCAAAATTCCACCTTTCGGCAGCCATCCTCATTAATCTATGCAACTTTTTGTCACTTTAAATCCAGTTATTGTGAAAATTTGAATGAAAAATAAAAATATATGCGGTTAAACTTATTCATTTTACTTATATGAAGTTGACTTAAGTTGTTATTTTCAAGATTTTTTATTAAAAAAAAAATTGTGTCATCTGTCCTTAAGTCATGCACGGTTTTAGTGGAGGGAGGGTACGTACGTCCGGATCCCTTTCTCCCAGGGAGAAATTATAATGTTAAGTAACCAACAATTGACCATTGACCCCCCCCCCAATCGTAGGAAACACGGACCCCTCGTAAGTTCGTAGGGAGAGGCATATTTATAAATGATTTGCCATCATATTTACAAAGTTGTATAGACTCTGTCAAGTTACACTCAAAAAATATAGATTGTTTAATGTATACAGATGATATAGTAATTTTTTCATCATCACCACAAGGACTACAGCAAAGATTAAACTCTTTAGAGAAATATTGTGATGACTGGGGTATGAAAGTAAATTCTAATAAAACAAAAATTGTTATTTTCAATAAAGCTGGGAGAACAATTAAACATAAATTTAATTACAAAAATTTCAATATTGAATGAGTATCAAGTTATAAATACTTAGGCATCCATTTCACAGCCTCGGGGACTTTCTCAATGGCTAAACTTGAGTTATACAAAAAGGGACTAAAAGCATTCTTCAAACTACGAAAAGATTTCCTTAGCTTAAATCCCGGGATATCCACCAGTCTAAATGTCTTTGATCACTCTATTAAACCTATATTACTTTATGGCTCAGAAACATGGGGAATATTTAATGTTCATAATTCAAAAATAAAGCAATCTGATGATGTATTGATGCTACAAAAACTTTATAGGTGAAAATTTACACATCAAATTCTGTAAAACTATATTAGGTTTGAATAGGAAAAGTATGAACCATGCTTGTCTTTCAGAACTGGGTAGATATCCTTTACATCATGATATTGTCAATAGATTACTTAAATACTGCTACAGACTAGAAAATTTAACATCAGATTTTCCTTTATTAAAAGATGCATTCATATGTAGTAAGGAACTTCATCTCGCCAAAAGAACAACTTGGTATTCCTCAATAGAAAAATTACCAAGAATTCTTGATATTCCAAACATTATGTCATATACTAAGAGTAAATTTGTAACTTCATTAAAACAATCCCAGATAAAAAAAAAAAAAAAATATTCTATGGATTGGCAGTACTTAAATGAAACACTAAAAGAGGGTAAACTTGTCACTTATTTGTTTCTGAAGAACAATTTTAGACTGGAAAAATATCTAATTTTATTAAAACCTGAATACAGAAAGCCAATTTGTAGATTACGTGTATCAGCACACAGACCCTTTATAGAATTAGGCAGATATAATAACACGCCTAGAACAGAAAGAATATGTAAAAATTGTAGGCGTAATCAAATTGAAGATGAAGAACATTCCCTTATTTATTGTAGCAAATTTACAAAGGAAAGAGAAGACCTATTTAACTTAATCTCATCTAAAGTAAAACATTTTACAAAATTGCCTGATAAACAATATATATATATATATATATATATATATATATATATATATATATATATATATATATATATATATATATATATATATATATATATATATATATATGTGTGTGTGTGTGTGTGTGTGTGTGTGTGTGTGTGTGTGTGTGTGTGTGTATGTATATATATATGTATTAGATAGATAGATAGATAGATAGATAGATAGATAGATAGATAACAAATATTTTTTATTTGTGCAGAATTTATGTACATGTATATGTATAAAAACTATCTGGTTTATTCCTTCTTTTTTTATGTCTTTCTCCTATCAATCATGCAACTCTTTCTCTCTTGGTGTATGTATATTGTATTACATGTATATGACTGTATATAAATGTTAATTTACAATGTACTTTCTTTTCGCCCCATGAGGGCCCTTAATTGGTAAATAAACGAATTGAATTGAATATATTAAGCAAAGCAGCTTGTCCATTCCAATCACAAGAGAGAAAGAGAAAGACATAAAAACGGAAGAATAAACCAGTCTAGTTTTTATACATATACATGTACATAAATTCTGCGCAAAAAATTTTGTTTTATTTATATATATAGTACATGTGTACTGATGACATCTCTATCTGTCTATTTGTTTCTTTTTGTTCATAAAGATTTTCGTGATTAGTTTTGCACAAAACAAAGAGAAAGATAACTGCCTCTACAGAATTATTTATTCTCCTTCTTGCACGTATTTAATTTTTATTTTAATCTATATGTACCTAGTATTTTATTTGAAGGGATTAAAGATGTGCTCAATCAGATACAAGTCAGATAGAAAGCGTATCAACGACATGTTGAAAATAAATCTTTTCACTTCAGTAGAAACAAATAGTGATAAACTGCCTTGTTTGACGTAACTTTTGCAAACTCAGATGTGTTTGTATGTGTTTGTATAAGTTTAAGTCAGGATTTTTCGTTGCCCCGAAAAAGATACCAAGCATTTTTTTTTTAAAGAGTGAAAATCAGAATGATATGGTCTATATATAATTTGGATTATACAGACTATACAATTGAAATCAAAACTATGGTTGATGTATTAAAAACGACAAATCGAAGAAAATGTTCACCTTTTTCAAAAAAAAAAAAAAAAAAAAAAAAATACACCGAAATACTGTACAATTCATGGAATGTATACAATTAAGATTTCATGAATTTAATTCACAGTCCTCGATACACTCGACGATGATTTGCCATATTGACCACGCTTCTTTTGTTGCCTTAGAATTGGTTTTAAATTCTATTCATTACCGCATTTATTCCTGTTAACATTGTCAATGTCGCTAAACTACATTTTAATTGACTTCTCTTCCGCTTTTAAGAAATAACTTAATTTTAAATGCATGCAATTATTAGAATATCAAAGTCTTTTTTTCTAAAATATTACTCACTGACCGTATCAACTTTAAAGCTTAAGCACTTAATTTTTAATCAATTTATTCCTCTATTATTAATGAATTTAATAAATATCAGTATGTAATATTTATTTTATAAATATTGGAATTTTTACATATTCACGTTCAACCTTAGAAATAATGAAAGGTATCTTTTCGTTTGTTATGATGGGTTTTTTTTTGGGGGGGGGGGGGGGGTTGTAGTTGTGGTTTTTTTTTTTTTTCATTTCTTCATTTTCTTTGTTTGTTTGGTTTGAAATTTGATTCAATGTGACTTTTTAGGCTCCCCCTCTCTCTCCCTTTTTTGGTGGTGGGAGGGGGGTAGAGAGCGCATGGAGTGTTTTCCTCCTCGTTGCAAGAATCAGTGCACATTCCCCACGACAATTGATACTGTATTTATCTTGAACTAGGGACAATAATTTAAGTCTTTCCTCTTGAAGGGATAACGTAGGTTTCACTGGGATTTAGGTGGAGACATTTTAGCCGCCTCTTAACATTTTATAAATCCATTTAATGTTATTGATTTTTTACGGAGCGCATAGTTAAATGAGTAAGAACTGGTTCACACAAGTATTCAGTTCATTTAATGATAAAACATATAGTCAAGGAAGATGTAGATTATCCCCTTTTACACTTCTACAAATCCACTATCTTTTGGAAGGAAAATATTATTGGGGGGGAAATGTTATTTACAAGTATTTCATAACATGTACAGTGTGTAGGGGATAAAGTTCTTCAGTCAGTACTATGGACTAAACAGTTTCAGCAAAAGTTCGCCGATATCTTTCTTTTTAATTATTATTTTTTTTTTTTACTTTGGCGATGTTTTGTTTACAGTGTCCCAGTAATTAAGATACAGCCAAAATACATTTGTCTCACATACAAGAAATAAATCATATCAAATACAATGCATGTTTTGTAACTGCCAAAAAATGACGACTAGATCTAAGATTGGAGTATGCTATAATTAGTCTTTACGATTAAATGAAAACAAAATAATTCTCCACATGTTATCGAAACTATACTGATATCCTAATCACTCAGTATTCATATCATGTAGGTCATAAAATTTCTTCAAAGGTCTCTAAGTAAAACCACTGATTTACAGAGGGTCGTGTTTCTATGGCTCCGATCGACAAGAGACTGTTTAATGATACTCGTGTAAACTTACAAAATGTGTGATATTTATTCAGTTATTAACAGATAACCTTATACATTCCACTCCGTACCTCTGCTATACTATATGGCCATTATAGATACTTTGATGCCATATTTAAATAGCTATACAAAAAAAGCATGTGAAATATAAACGTACATGACGTAAATCGTCATTTGTATGTGAGTGATATTCACTTTTATTTATTCATTTTTAAAATCAAGTCCATTCTTAAATATAATAGTGCAAATACGTCTATCTGAAGTTTTTTATACGGGCAATAGTTTGTAATGGCCAAATAACCCTTTCTTTTACTGAAAGTTTGTAATTCCCTATCACCAAAAAATCTATAGAATGTCTGACCTGAGGGTCTTATGCTAATTCAAATTTTCTTTGAACATTTTATAAATATATTGAGCTCTTAAAAGGTAGCCATAAATATTTTAAGGAGGTTTCCATTGTTGATATATTATAATCTATAAATTTGGTTCGCTGTCATAAATCTGATTCGCTGTTTTTGTGATAAATAGCTTCAAGTTAAGTGCATGTAATACATCAAACGGTTACAGGAAGTTATACTTTACTTGACTCTAGTGCAGAAAACTGCATATATAAGAATATGATCCCATTTGTGTATTAAATGAGATAAAATAATGCAAAGAACATTTCAAAATGCATAAATGCTTTCATTGTTATTCATGGGCATAAATTAAAGTGAACTAAACCACATCCTTTGCCAACGACCGCTTTTTATAACAAACTTTTCAGCTGTATGATTGAACATTTGTCCAGTACATTAAATATATAAATATCAAAGAGTTAGACTAGACCTTAAACAAACATTAATATCAAATATTTAGTACAAAAATTCTTGTTCCATCGATTGCACATCAGTTCCTACAGACACCGTACTAAAAACCGGTACGGAAGGAATATTACTTCCGCTCTCAGAAACGGTGTCCAAATTAGAATCTTTAATCTTAAGTGAGCTATCCAATCCATTAGACAAATCATTCACTTCAGTTTGGCATCCAGAATCTCTTCTGGATAGCTTCCGTGCAACTGTTGCATGGGATTCGGATCCGGATTCACTACTATGGATAGAGTCCGAGTCCGCTTGTGACGCTGTGTCCTTCCGGAAACTTGACTGTTTTCCTTTGATTTCATCTTTTGTTCGGAGTTTTTTGCTTTCGCGTTCCTCCCGAACCTTGGAAGTCTTCCATTCCTTGTAAGCTATTTGGAAGGCCCGAGACATTACGAGAGACATGGATTTTGCCTCCTCTTTGCTTCCACAAATAACAGCGTGACATTGTAATGACGGCGACTCCGAATCCTTACAAATCCAGCAGAATATTCTCTCATTGATAGCTAAGTCAGCATTGCAAAACGAAATAGTTTCTATGGGATAAAACTTGCCTTGTTCTTTTTTCTTATCGGATCCTTTTATGGTTATGCCACTCGTGTTAATGACGATGGTCACCTTTTTCAGCTCTTTTTCTCCCCCAGCATTATCCCAAAGTTTTTGCACGGGTCCAGTGGTGCATCCTTGACCACTCGCTGTAAATGTCTCGGCACAGCCGATGTATCGTGCCTTGAAGACGGGGTCAGTTTCCGTGATTCGGGCCCGGACTTTGGTAGCACTCCACATTGTTTATGACCGATGTACACAGTAAATTTCCTTAAAGTTCCCGAGAGGAATTATCCTGCATCGCCATGTCTTAAAGATGCCACTCTTCTGATTCAGTCTTGAGCCACTTGCACTTTTTTTCACCTGTGTATTTGTGAAATTGAAGCACCATATATCAAAAGGCGGGATTGTCCAATAGGTTTACTCTCTGTGACGTGAAAAAGATAATTTGCATGTTTGAACACGGTTGAAACTTTTCAATAACTGCTGCCAGATAAGATAACGGCATTTCGCCTCTGACGGACCATTTGTATTCAGTTAAAATCGACCAGTTTCTTTCATTTACCTGGAACAAGAAGAACACGCCTCTAATGGATATTGTTTTTATAAATACCTGTATATCTGCTATAAAAATATAGCGGTGATGATTTTTCTGTACATAGACCAACAAATGTCTTCAAACTGTCATCTGTATAACAGATATACACGACCAGTCATTAACTTATGTTTACAAAACAAACATTTTCCAAATCACTCTGTGAATGTTCGATATTTCCTCTTAAAGAGGGGTATTGCCACTTTCCGAATCTGGTCATAAAGCAGTCTTAATCCGACTTGATAAAATTTCAGTTAAAGCTTGACAAACAGGGAAATTAGGTAGACCTGTCTTAAACACCTACATGTAGATCCGTGTCTTTTGTTTCACCTTTCCAAATGACTGATTACTTACACTCAGTTGTAGATTTTATATGCAAATTTCGATGGTAAACAATTATTTATACATCAAGAGAGACTGTCTGCGGCTTTCTATACTCTTGACAAATATTTCCAGCATGATTTTGAGATGTCAATTTTTAAAATTAGTTACACGTTAAGACTAGAATATTAGAGATGCTTAAATAAGTATTTAAAAAAACTAACAGCGTGACAGTTTGCTTGATGGGCCGTACTAAAATTTTGTGTGCTGATTATCATTTTACTCATCGATTGTATGTTTGATTTCAATGGAATCAATACTATTTTGATTTCAATGGAATCAATACTATTTTGCATATGTCACACGTACAGAACCCAGCAATACCACTGACAATACTGACCAATTCGTGTTGAATAATTGTATGCATTAAAACATTAGTATGACATCATCATTAATACTTTCCATTTCTTGAAAGCTAGGCCCAAATCAGTCCAATAAGTTACCAGAAAACTGTCTAAAAAATAATGGACAGTATTTAATAACTTATCGGACGGCTACGGGTAACTTATTGGGTTAAGAAAACACAACAAAAAGACAAATAAATATTTTTAAGGCAATGAATCCAACATGTTTCAGAATGTAATGAAATAATATATTCCAAGTCATAGAAACAAAAACTGAAACTTTGTAATTGTTCCAGTAAACAATGAAATGTTTATTCAAACTCACAATGAATATCAAAACTTAAAGGAAATATCTCTGAATTCTATAGGAATGTATCTTACACCAACAAAACATGGGGGATATCACTTCTCCTGGCAAGAATCAATCGCTCGGATTCGCTCCTTCTTTCTCACTAGTACTTTGAATAATTTTGCTCATTTTTCTGCAGGAGCACATCCATTTTTCCTACTAAAGGTTGTTTGGTTAATAGTCTTGTCTACTCTTCTCCCGATTCGTTTCTGACTTCAGCGACAAAAAGCTAATAATTTGTTGATTTCTTTATCACCCAACATCGTGACGTCCTTTTAAGCATTAAAACATCAACGTTGGGTATTGTGTAACATTCTCTCTGTCAGTTAAAGAACACAGTCACTGCCCATTTGCATTTCTGCTCTGATTAGCCTCTTCTAAATCATCTAAATATTGTTGATTTAATTACGGAAATCTTTCTACGTTCCCTTTGTTTTTCTGCATCTTTGAATAGCGTTGACCAAAAGTTCATAAATATTTGATAAAATATAAGTCCACTTTGAGTTCAAAGTTCATTGTCCTGACAATCCTAGGCTCAACATCCAAAATATCACTTGAGAATGACATATGTATTGCTCTTCATATCTGAATTTGTTTTGCATCAAAAATATGCCATCTCCCTTGGAAGAAGATATGCTTTCAACATTCACAATCGCAACAAAATGGTGTTCGAATCTCATGCCTTGTGATTAAATATTCTTTATTCAGTTATTTAAAAATTGAACTTACCTGTAACTGTCCACTAAGTCAACAATTACAATGAATGTGAGTTTCTTTTGATTGTCAGCAACCTTCACCTGAGACAGTCCAATAAGTAGACAATGCTTACTTAATACAATGGATGAGAAACAATTCTAAGAGAGTATATACATTATAAACACAATAGAGTAAATGTTTTAAGTAGGTTATAGGCCGAAAACTGTCCATTCTGTGAGAAGAAAGAACTATTGTCGGGCCTCATGGCCCTTCAACAGTTCTTTCTTCTCACAGAATGGACAGCTTTCGGCCTATAACCTTTACGTAAACAACAATTACATGTGGACAGACAAAGCAAGTTTTACTTCCTATAATGATGACATCGATAGGTATATATATATATAGTATAACAGTAGCACAGTAGCCCTACTAATTCCATTCTTTAAATTGTCTTATATGTATTTAAAACTCCATTTGGTCAAACCAAAATGTTCAAATATGACACAAGCTTTTTTGAAGACAGAAAACGGGCTTTGACTGACCACGTGTTGCTGCAGATTACAAATGACGTATACCGGTAACATGGTAAACAATCATTCAATGTGATTGGCCAGTATAATCAGGGTATTGTTGTATACTGTTTCATATGCAAATTAGTATTGATTTCAATGAAATCAAACATCCAATCGATGAGTAACATGACAAACAGCTTACAGAATTTTAGCACGCCCCATCAAGCAAACTGTCACGCTGTTAGTAAAATGATAATACCTGTTGTGAAGGAACATCATTCTCAGCATTTGCAAGTTCTATAGTCATTATAATGACCCTGTTTGCCAACAACCATCGTTGCATCGTTGGGACGTATTTTGAATGGTGAACTTGAGTACTTCTACCGTCGGTTTATACATTGCCAAGAAATGCATTTTCTTTCAGTCCAGCTTTTAGGATGAAGTCAATAAAAGCGTAATAAACGCTAATCACTAATTTTTTTTCATTAAGATAAAGGAATAAGAAATCATAGAAAAATCAGACGACTTTTACCTTTTCTTGGAGGGGGTGCGCCCAAAAAAATAATAAATAAAAAAATGTAATAAATAAAATAAAATGTTCGAAACTACGACCCTAGGTTCTAGCTTTTCTTCTGCTGTTAAAAAGCAAAAGTAGGGTTTATGGAGGCAGACATTTTGGACAAAAGTAGTCTGGAGAGGAAAATAGTTTTTGGAAACATGATTGGTACATTATAAATATGTTGATTTTCTACAAAATTACTTGGTCAATAATCACTCTGATTCTACACACAAGTAAGCTAAGGTTGATATTAAAAGGGGGTTTCTCATTAACACCATATGCAGATGACTGTGGGATATCACTACATAAATAAGGAAAGTTGTCGATGCAAAAGCTGAAGTCATCCCGTTTATCATACAGACTGGTTTTTTGTTAGTCCTTATCATCTATTGTCAGCAAAATATCCTTTTATGAAACATATGTGGAATATGAAGATAACGAACAGTATTCAATCTCGAAAGTCCAATGAAACGATACAAATTTGGAGCAGAGCAAACACGGACATCAAAAACATCAGAGGTGGGATCAGGTGCCATGGAGGAGTGAGCATCCTCTGCCGACCGGTCACACCTGCCGTGTGCTCCTTGTCACGATCGAAAGAAAAACCGGAAAAATCCTTAAACAGTATAAGAAATGGCCTAACAATTACTTACAAAGAACGTCAGTCAGCATTTGACTCAATGATAGGTTGTATGTGCTGACAAGGTCATTGTATCGACCGAAAAGATGACTTCAAACGAGACTGTTGATATCCTTGTTTGTCAATAGCTTGCCTTGTTTTAGAAATTGTTCATACGTAGAGCATGCTCTTGCGTATCGAATCAACTGAGAGACATAAACCCCATATGCAGGTGATAGGGGTATATTGCTACATAAGTAAGGGAAGTTGACGATTGAAAAGCCGGTCATCACGTTTATCATAAAGCTTTATTGTTAGGTTACCATTTACGTCTTTTTCTAGTAAAATATCTAAATAAAAAACAGATGTGTCAGAATATGTGGTATCTTTTATTTAAAGCTCACTGGGATATATCGAGTCGACATATGAATGAAAGTAACTATTGTTAATTGATAATGCGTCGTCAATATATCGAAACATGCGCGGATCCAGAGGGAGGTCGGGGGGGGGGGGTCAGGACCCCCCCCCCCTCTGGAATTTGCAGAGTTATAAAGAGTATATACTGAAGCAAATAAAAAATGACATTGGATCCCCCCTAGAAAACGTGGACTCCCCCATCACCACCACGATATAGGTGTTTTTCACGTTTAAAAAATGGATTTTACCTTCTTTCTTTTTGGCTTGTCAAGAAATTTTTGGGTTATTTTTTTTTTAACTGGATGGACCCCCCCCCCCTGGAAAAATTCTTGGATCTGCGCCTGCGAAATGTTGAGTTGAAAGCCACAGCAAGTGTTTTTTTCTTCTCGTATAGAAGTTTTTGAATAAATTCTGCTTCATATGAATACAAAAATGGGTCTGCTGATAAGGGGGCGCAATTGGTACCCATGGGAATTCCAACAGATTGTTGGAAGACGTGATCTCCAAAAAGTACATAGATATTGTCAATCAGAAACTCAAGCATCTTTTTAATATCAATTCAGAGTACACGTGTGTACAATCACAGTGCTTTTTAACAAAATAATTTTGTAAATGACCAATGACAAGGTATGTATATTTACGAGTTCCATTTTTATTGAAAAAGCAGCTGTCTATGATGTCAAATAGCCTAGACTTCAATTTATCGTGGGGAATGGTTGTACGTTTTGATGCTATTGATTTTAGTAAAAGTTTGGGATTTCAAATTTTCCAAAAGTTCTTTGGAGTTTTTAAGTATCCACATCTGATTTACACCACTTCTCGAATATACTGTTGTACAGTACTCCTGAAGTTTCTCCTTCATTACAGTAAATATTTTAGTGAGGAGTAAAGAAACAGGCTTGGTAGAACATTTACTAGAACCCGCTATGTATCTTTGTTTGTAAGGATTTTTATAAAGTTTAGGAATCCAGTAAAGGTATGGTAAATCAAATTCATTTTGATTGTTGGGAATATTAAAAATATCTAAAACGGACATATGATTTTGAAGAATTTCCTCCTTAGAAAGGGAGTATGGGTGTAAGTTGGATTTCCACCCGTAGAATTAAATCCTAGTTCCTCTAAAATACAATTCAAATAATGAGCCTTACAAACAAAGACTATGTTGTTACCAGCTTTGTCAGCTGGGACCAGTACATACTATTAAAGACAGAAGGATAAATAGTTTTCATACAGCCCCTCAATCGCTTAATGCGAGATTTCAACATCCACCTGATGCTCTTAATCCATTCTGTCTTCTTTTTCGTGTTTGGTCCATCACCTGGCGTAATCTTCCACAGAATTTATAATATTAATAAAATTATAACGCCAGTTAAAAGAACGGGGTTCCTAAATTTTGGCTCTTTTAAAATAGG